TTTAAAGGTGTCATGTCCACGCATATACGCACCTTATCTTTATCCTTTTTGGGAGCTACTACCATGCCACAGCACCAGTCAGTGGGCTCTTCCACACGGCTGATCACTCCCATCCTCTCCATCCTTTCCAGCTCTTCCTTGACTTTGCCCATTAACGGCAGTGGCACGCGCCTTGGCACTTTCAGGGAGAAGGGAATAACATCAGGCTTCAGTTTTATTGTGTATTCCTTCTGAACAAGCCCAAGACCCTCGCATATACTTGGATAGACTTTCCTTACAGTGTCTTCATTTATATTGTCCCTTAGGGCTATTAGCTTCAGCCTCACAGATGCTTTCCTGCTCAATAGCGCCACACGCAGGTTTTTGACCACGTAGATTTTCTCAATGGTGCTCCTGTCGTTGTATGCAATGGTTTCTGTAGCAGACCCTAAAACAGTCAGTGCAGTGCCACCCGGTCCAAAGAGTGGTTTCTCTGCTTTTTGGAGCTGTTTTGGTTGTTTAAAGTTGTTAAACGTCTTTTCGGAAACAGCTGTGACATCTGCTCCCGAATCAATCTTGAATGTCACTTTATTTCCTCCCACGTCAATGTCTGCCAGCCATGGATCCTCTCCTGTATCCAATTCACCAAGAAAAAGTCCCATCCGCACTGCCGGCTACTTCGTTGACTGTTGTAGTAGACCTACAGACCCTTCCATAGTGTCCACGTTTGCCGCAGTTATGACATTCTGCATTTTTAGCAGGGCACTGTAATGCAGAGTGAGTTGGAATTTTTCCACACTTGGAACAGGGCTTAAAGTCCTGTTTTGTTTGCTGTGGTTTTAGTGACTTAAACAGTTTTTGCTCTTTACCTTTGAACTGGTTTGGCTTCGGCTTCCTCATGTGCACTGCATCCATAGCTATTTTGTTGGCACTACATTCACCTCTCAAATCTGTTTGCTGTCGTTTTATTTCTTCAGATTGTCTGGCCATTATGATAGCTTTGGTTAGGGTAAGATCTTTGTCGAGCTGCATTCTCTCTGACAGCGATGAATCTTTAAGACCCACTACGAGCCTGTCTCTCAAAAGTTCATCGTGAAGTTCCCCATATCCGTAGTTTTCCGCCAGTGCATATAGGGCCGTTATAAACGAGTCAACTGGTTCAGCATGCTGTTGTACTCTCTTATTAAACTTTGCCCTTTCATAAATCACATTCTTCCTGGGAACGAAGTGCTTATCGAAATGCACTTTTGACGGCATCATATTGCTGGCGCTCGTCATTTGTTAGCTCGAGCCCTCTTAGCACGTCGTCAGCCTCATCTCCCATACAGTAAACTAAAGTGTTCACTTGATTGGCATCAGTGGAACCGTTCAGATTACTTGCCACTCTGAAACGTTCAAAACGTCTTATCCACTTCTCCCACTCCTGTGGTTTAGCGAAGTCGAAAGGTTCCGGTGGCTTGATGGTAAAAGTTGCCGCGGGTGGAGCCGCCATTACTGGACCTGGGGCTGCCGCTGCTGCTGGAGCAGGTGCCGCTGCTGGAGCGGCTGCTTGTGCTTGCCCATCCATCGTCGCTAGCCGATTGCAAAGCTGACTTGTCCTTCCTCAAAGCAGGCTCACTTCTGACACCATGTTGTGTTGAGTTCACACATTAACAACACTGCTTTGGGTAGTTCTCATGGAGCCCGTTTTATTCACGTGCTCGTGTTCATACCACACTCCAGGTCTCCCCCTGGTGGCTACTCACTTATAAGAGTATAACAGTATACTGTAACAACACGATTACACCACACTGGCGGGCCCCAGAGTCCCCGCTCGGCGCCTCAGGTCCCTGCTGGGAATGATGGCAGCGGCTCATGCTGTGGTGCGGCTAGGCCTGCTCCACATGAGAAATTTTCAGAGGTGGTTCTCGCGCCTCAGGCTTCACCCCCCCCGGGACGGGGGGAGGCTGATCTGGGTTCCCCAAGGGGCAGCATCGGACATCAGGTTCTGGCTCACTCCGGGTCTATTGCGGGACGGAGTGACTCTGGCCTGCGCCGTGTCTCACGTCGAGGTGTTCACGGACGCGTCGCTCGAAGGATGGGGCGGGGTCCTCGGCCAGAGCTCTGTAGGAGACTGCTGGTCGGACTCAGCCCGTCACATCAACCTGCTGGAGATGGAGGCAGTGCACAGAGTACTGCTGCACTTTGCCCCTCAGCTGCAGGGGAGACACGTGATGGTGCGCTCAGACAACACCACAGTGGTCTCCTATCTGAACAGGCAGGGGCCACCAGGTCCCCCGCTCTCCATCGCATGGCGACGGTGACGCTGCTGTGGGCGGCGCTTCACCTCCTGTCTCTCAGGGCGCGCCACGTCCCGGGGGTCCGGAACGTGGGAGCCGACAGGATGTCCAGGGGGGGCCCACTCCAGGACGAGTGGGGCCTGGCCCCACGGGTAGCTGCGGAGATCTGGCGGAGGTTCGGCCGTCCAGTGGTCGACCTTTTCGCCAGTGCAGAGAACGCACAGTGCCCGTCCTGGTTCGCGGACGAGCCGCCTTTAGGCGTGGACGCTCTGGCTCATTACCCATGGCCAGGCGGCCTGTTGTACGCTTTTCCACCGGTGCGTCTCCTGCCGGTCCTGCTGCGGAGGATCGAACAGGAGAGGAGATCGGTGATCCTGGTGGCTCCGGACAGTCCGCATGCCCGGTGGTTCCCCTTCCTGAGGGGCATGGCGGTGATGGAGCCCTGGGCCCTCCCGGACGAGCCGGGGGCTCTAGTCCAGGGGGCAGGAGCCCTGTTTTCACGTCCGATAATCGGCCGCAGGCTCTGGGTTTGGAGGTTGAGAGGCGGAGCCTCGTAGATCTGGGTCTTCCCCCTGCGGTGGTGGAGACCATTCAGGGAGCGAGGGCGCCGTCCACCGTGAGGGCCTACGCCACGAGGTGGAGGCTATTCAGTGTCTGGTGCGATTCCCGTTCCTGGGATCCCAGGTGTTGCCCGCTGGAGGGGGTCCTGGGATTCCTACAGGAGCTCTTTGACAAGGGGAGGGCTGTCGCTACCTTGGCGGTGTTCGCGGCAGCCATTACTTCGGGTCACGACGGATTCGGGGGGTTCACAGCCCGTTCTTACCCGTTGGTTAAACGTTTTCTGCGGGGGGCGCGCAGGAGGAGGCCCCCGCTCCAGAGAACGCCTCCGGTTTGGGACCTCAGGGTGGTCCTTAGGGGGCTGTCGGGTCCGCCTTTTGAACCGGCGGCGGAGGCGAGTCCCGAGTGTATCGCCTTTAAGACGGCCCTCTTACTGGCGTTGGCGTCTGCGAAGAGGGCGGGCGATTTGTGTGCGCTCTCCGTCCATGCGTCGTGCCTGTCCTTTGGAGAGGACGACGGCATGGTGGAATTGTGGCCCAATCCGGCTTTTCTCCCCAAGGTCATCACGTCGGCCTTAGGTCGAGGGTCATCAGGATTAGGGCTTTCCACCCGCCGCCGCATGCCTCCCCCGAGGAGGAGCGGCAGCACCTTCTGTGTCCTATCAGAATGCTGAGGCATTACCTGGCCATGACGTCGTCATTCAGGTCGGGTGATCAGCTGTTTGTGTGTCTGGGCCCCAAGAACAGGGGCGCCCCGCTGTCGGCTCAGCGGCTGGCGCATTGGGTCGCCACGGCGGTGCGGCGGGCGTATCAGACGCAGGGTCTGGCCCCCCCGGTGGGTTTCAGGTCGCATTCCACGCGTGGGATGGCGGCCTCTACGGCCCTTCTCAGGGGGGCGTCGGTCGAGGACGTTTGCCGTGCGGCTTCTTGGGCGTCGTCCTCCTCTTTCGTCCGGTCTTATCTTTCGGATGTGTCGGACCGGTCGGTGGCCCATTCCGTGCTGAGTGCAGCGGACTGAGTTAGACCGTTGGGTCCCTCCCCTGAGGGGGGGCCTTCGGTCTATTTTCCGCCCTGGTGCAGGAGCTCTTGGGAGAGGCATCCTACAGGTGCGGTACATTTTGTGTGTGTGGTCGGTCTGGTAGTCCACGTCAGGAGCTCTTGGGAGAGGCGTCCTGTGACTACGGATGACCTACGGCTTGTGTTACGTGGGGGTATCCTTGGTAGGAGTGGCCCCGTAACACGCTTGTTTCTTCTGCCCTGAGTCCTCTCACGTTGTGAGGGTCTTGCTCGGGCGGAGCTCCAATCACCCTTCGCTGGCCTGCTGGGAGTACATTTTCCTACGGCCTCCGCGTTGTGTCCCACTAGCGAAGTCCTAAGGGACGTAGCACCATGACGTAGAATGAATAGTTACTTAATGTAACTTAAGTTCTACGAATAGGTGCGTAGTCCCTTAGCTACGAGCCCATCAGGCCAGCCCGGCTTGGCAGAGTTCAAGAGGGGGTACGGCCTTGTGCAGGGGCATTTATAGAGGAAGGTGGCTGGTGATTGGAGCAAATTATTTTTATCTCTCTGGCGCGTGACCTGGGGGTCACGAGTGATATCCCACTAGCGAAGTCCTAAGGGACTACGCACCTATTCGTAGAACTTAAGTTACATTAAGTAACTATTAATTCCTTGTCTTTTCCGTTACCACACAAAACTTGACAAAACTACAGAAAAAGCTCATTTAAAACATTCTAACAGTTAGCTGTTACCGTTATAAGTATGTTCTGACCCATACATTGTGCTTGTGACATTAGTACGAACCTGAAAAATACAGGATAAGGATGAGTCAGGCGGACACGGTGTTTCCTTTTGTCTCGCTTCAGCCATATTGGTGAAGGAGCGCCACTGACCTCATTACACCTGCTCACCATACACCACCTGCTGGCTTCAGGGTGTTACTACAACGTAAACATCCTTGTTATGAAACAAGACTTATCTAAATACTAAATACAATTAAACATAATGTGACAACACATTACTGGGTGTCACACGCTCCCTGACAAATAAAAATGGCTCCTGACATTACAAAATACAAAAATCAAACACTTTACAACTCAAAATCTTAGTCACCATAACATGGGTGTGGCATAAGTCTGTGGGGCAAAAGTATGCGGGATATTAGGCACAAAACCAGCACCAAATGGAAAATAAGGTGTGGCTACCCATGGCTGATACGGCATGTACGGTGAGAGGGTGAAAACCATGGCTTGTGGTTGAAGGGTAGGTTCACCAAGTGACTGGTAGGTAAACACTTGCCTCGGTCTCCTTTCTCTATTTGACCTCCTTACTTCAGTCTGTAGGTCAACTGGTGTCTGTGGAAGTTCTGGAGGTATGAAAACATTACCTTCTTCACTTCCTTCTCCAGAGTGAGCTGGTGGGGCTGATACCACAGGGGCGGGGGTCACCTGTGGCACATGGCTGTCTCTTTCAGTCTGTAAGTGTCCTTCTGGCGCACTGGTTCCATCACTGTCTCTTACTGGCAACAGAAAGCGGTTACTCGTGTTCTCAGGGGCTTGGCTTGTCTGGGGCAAGTCAGGCTGGCTAAAGTCAGTACCCCTGCCTACTTGACCAGTCGGTCTAAGAGGAAACCTCAACCAATAACCCCCTGTACTCTCGTCAGAGTCTGAGTCGCTAGAGTTACTGTTATGCATGTCTTTTCTACTAGACTTTTTCTGTCTTGTCTGTCTTTTGGATGTGGGTTCGGGCCTAATAGGCGGGGTTTCTACTGGGAGATCATTAACCAGTAACAAGAGGTTACGATGGAGGACTCTAGTCTTACTCCCATCACTATTCTCATGGTAAACTGCATATACCGGGTTGTCACCTACTTGTTCTTTAACCAAATAAATGTTTTTCTCCCAGAAAGAACGTAATTTCCCCGGCCCCCCTCGTTCACTAAAGTTTCTAACGAGGACTCTATCTCCAGGCTCCAATACAACACCTTTTAACTTTTTGTCATAGTAGGACTTGCTTCTGGCACTAGACTGTTTACTTTTCTCACTGGCTATCTTGTACGCCTCTGTCATTTTTGTAGCCCACTTATCTGCATAGCTCTTGTGTGACACTGTCTGTTTGTCCCCAACTAAACCAAATAAACAGTCAACTGGGAGACGTGGGTGGTGTCCATAAAGCAAAAAGTAAGGGGAAAACCCTGTGGATTCATGCCGCGTACAATTGTAAGCGTGAACTACATGTTGTAAATGATCTTTCCAGTGTTCCTTCTGCTTCTCACCTAATGTCCTTAACATCTGCTCAGCTGGATTACCTTGCGGATGATACGGTGATGTTCTCGAGTGTCCAGTTCCAGACTTCTCCCTCAGAGTCTTGAAGAGTTAATTTTCAAACTCGCGACCTTGGTCGTGGTGTAGTCGCGCCGGGTATCCAAAGCGTGGGATGAAGTCTCCAAAGATGCGTTCAGCTGCCGTCTTCCCAGCTTTGTTTTTGGTTGGATACGCCTGGGCATACCGAGTGAAGTGGTCTACGACGACAAGGATATACTCATATCCCCCTCTGCTGGGCTCTAGATGAAGATAGTCGATGCAGACCAGGTCCAACGGTGAATTTGATGTGATGGAGCCCATGGGAGCACGGACGGGCGCTGTTGGTTTCTTGCTGATAATACATGGGCATCTTCTTGTGACATAGTACTCAATTTCATTTTTCATGTATGGCCAATAGAATCTATCTCTTGCCAGAGCTAGTACTCTCTCTGTGCCAATATGTCCCATATTGTCGTGCAGATGTTTTAACACAATGTCTTTGTACTTGGCAGGGAGGACTAGTTTCTGTCTGTCACCACTCTGTCTGTACATAAGTCCGTTTTCAAAATGCAGCTTGTTCCACTCCTGCAAAACTTTTCTTGTTGTTTTACGCACAGAGTTTCTAATTTCATGTGTTAAAACAGTCACATTTTCTTTCAATCGGATGATTTCACCCACAGTTTTGTCCTCTTTTTGTGCTTGAGCAAGTTCTTCTTGGCTAATGGCTGGGACAAGTGACTGCGGTTCTGAGTTCACATTGGCGAGGACAAGGGCAGCAACATACGCAACCTCACTGTCCTGAGCAGCTCTAGCGCCATTCCATGTAGCTTGAATCACGTGGGGTGATAGTTCCTCAGTACACTCATGTACATACTTGTCAATATTCAGAGGCAGACGGGACAACGTGTCAGCGTCCACATTTGTCTTTCCAGGTCTGTACTTTATCTCAAAACGAAAGTCGGACAGTTCCCCAACCCAGCGATGTCCCACAGCGTTTAGCTTGGCTGTGCTCATTACATAAGTTAATGGGTTATTGTCAGTATATATCGTGAAATAAGGGGCATAGTACAGGTAGTCTCTGAAACGCTCACACACTGCCCATTTGAGTGCAAGGAATTCCAATTTGCCACTGTGGAGACGATAGTTTCTTTCGGCTGGTGTGAGTGTCCTAGACCCATACCCGATGACTCTTAGCTTCCCGTTCTGGCGCTGATACAGAACAGCACCCAAGCCCTGTTCCGAGGCATCTGTGTGGAGACAGAAGGGTAAGTTAAAATCCGGATAGGCCAAGACTGGAGGACTGATGAGCATGTCGATTAATTGTTCTAATACTTGCTGATGCTCATTAGTCCACTCAACAGGGGCCTTGGATGACAACTGAGGACCTTTTGTCTTTGCTTGACAGGACTGGTGAGTTGACACGCCTGGTTTGAGTTTCAACAGTTCATATACAGGTTTTGCAATGCGCGAAAAGTCTTGAACATAGCTACGATAATAACTCAGAAAACCTAGTAGGCGCCTTACATCACCGACTGTCTGTGGTGTCTTTGTTTTTAGTGACTGAACAGCCTCTAAGTCTTTAGGGTCTATTCGCACACCCTCTGCTGATACAAGGCGACCTACATATCTCACTTCTCTGCGAAACAGTTCACATTTTTCAGGTCTCAACTTTACACCATGTCTTTGGAGTGCTCTCAAAACTTGTCTAACACCCTCGACATGTTCTTCAAATGTTGGTGCATAACACAAGATATCGTCCAAGTATGGAATACAACAGCTGTCTCTGAGCGAACATAACATTTCCTCCATACTTCTCTGAAAGGCAGCTGGTGCGTTTGAGAGGCCAAAAGGTATTCGTACCCACTCGTAAAGCCCCCAGGGAGTGACGAAGGCTGTGAGGTGACGTGAGCCTTCTGCCATGAATCCCTGGTGGTACGCCTTGCCCTGATCGAGGATACTGAACCAGGAGTGCCCCCCTAAAGTGTCTGTCAGATCTTGGATTCGTGGGAGAGGGTGCTTGTCCGGGTTTGTTTTCTGGTTCAGTAAACGGTAGTCTATGCAAAGGCGCAATGAGCCGTCCTTTTTGCGGACGCACACGACAGGAGCGTCATATGGAGATTTTGACTTTACAATCCACCCTTTAGCGAGGAGATCTTGTATGTATTCTTTCACTTCGGAAAACAAAGGCTTCGGCACAGACGAGTAAGCTCTTTGTACAGGGATGTCGTCTTTGAGGCATAGTGACATTTGTAAACTTGGGATGCAGCCGATGTCATTAGTGTCCTTAGCAAAAGCTCCTGACTCCTCAAATAACATCATTTCTACAGTCTCTTGTTGGTCTTTCTCAAGTTGACTTAGATCTACAGGTGGTTGCCACAAAGTTAGTGAAGGTTTTATCTCAACTTTTGCAATAGTGGCTGTATATCCCTCAGCCTCAACATCATCTAGTAAATCTGTCTCAATCACTTTCTTTATTGGCTGAATACTACCTATAGCAGACTTTCTTGCTAAGATAATATCATGTTTTGTGTGATTTTCAAGTGGCACAGTTACAAAGGGTACTTTGCCGGGTTGGATCTCAAGGAGTCCTTATCGCCTAGCCCTAACTCTTGTAACTGAACATAACTCTCTTCTGGCTCAAACAGGACTAATTTCTCGCTGGGGTCAAGCTGAGGTGGGACTTTACACCTTACCCAGGTAGTACTGCCTGCAGGGATAACTGTCTCTTTGTACCCTAACCTTAAGCGACCCTGGGCAGCGTTCACTTTACGAGTTTGAATGAATTGCACCATACCCTGTGCATCGTCTTCTGGAATGGACAAGGACCTTCTTCTTAGGGGGCCTACGGTTGACTTGTCCGCGCCTGGTTCAGGAGCTCTTGGGAAGGCGTCCTGCCCAGTGCGGTATGGGTGTAGCTTTGTTCAGTCAGGTAGTCCACGTCAGGAGCTCTTGGAGAGGCGTCCTGGACTAACTGGTACCTTCGGTCTGTGTTACTTGGGGGTATCCATGGGAGGAGTGGGCTGGTAACACTCATTTGCCTTTCTTCTGCCCTGATCCTCCTCACACTGTGAGGTCTGCTCCGGGCGGAGCTCCAATCAATCCTTCGCTGCACTGTTACTGGGAGTACATGTTCCTACGGCCTCCGCGTTGTGTCCCACTAGCGAAGTCCCTAAGGGAATATGAACAAATGACGAGAATTAATATTATCCCTAAGTAGCTTAAAGTGTCTACGAATAGGTGCGTAGTCCCTTAGGCTACGAGCCCATCAGGCCAGCCCCGGCTGGCGAGAGTTCAAGGGTGGCGCGGCTTATGGAGCAGGGCCTTTAAGAGAGGGTCGCTAGTGGAGTGGAGCAGTTTTTGTTATCTCTCTGGCGTCTTGGTAAACTGGGGGTCACATAATATCCCACTAGCGAAGTCCGCTAAGGACCTACGCACCTATTACGTAGAACTTAAGTTAAATAAAGGTAACTAATAAGATTGAAAAAAGAACAATGAGATGGTTTTTCCCTCATATCACATATGACTTACAGAAATATTTTCTACCACAACAATTACCTCAACTTGTTTCATTATATAAATGAAAAGATATCGTTTAAAGGCACACCCGATGTAACTCTTGGCCACTAGGGGCGCTAGACCTCACTTTCACGTTTAGCGCCCCTAGTGCCACAAGCAAATCTGCACTGGCCGCAAAAGACAACAAACAGGTCACCGGGTGGTCTTTTGAGTGTGATTCAGACATCATGCATCTGGTGTGTGTGGTTCAGTAGAGACATGCCTACAGATATAGAGAGACTCTGCTGAGTGGTCAGCCTCACAGACCGCTCCATTAGTAATGCTAGCCACACATGGACTTCTATATCCTGGATGAAGGGAGTTCTGCTCTAGCTCGTGCTGCGTGGAATGGACATCTTTGCCAGTCGATGACATCCAGGAACCAGTGAAAAGCAAGCGCTCAACAGACTTGCAGCTTACAGCACGATCCCTTCTCGCGTTTCCTCTTTTTAGCCTTCCTCCGAAGGTTTAAAATTTTTCCTTGCCTCAGCCATGACCTGGAGTCCGAGCAGGTGAAAAATGAGTAGCAAAAGCCTTAGCTCCATGAGTATGATCAGCGCCTGTACCGTAAAGCAAGTGTTTCTTTCCAAGTCACCGTGACCCTGGTGGCAGACGGTCCGTCTGCTCGAAACTTACATGGGCGGTATTTCAAGAGGGCAGCCCCGCTCGGAGCATTGCAAGTGTCAAGCGCTGTATATGGCCCAAGTATTCATATAAAATAACTCATATGTGTCAACTCTTTAGGTTCACTCAAGTCCCGCGGTGTGCCTTGGAGAGGTTTCTTATGTGGCTCAAGATAGAACTAAAACTGGGAACAGTTAGTTTTTATATTTATATCTGTATTGTAAAATAGTGTGATGTATGTTTAGTTTTATGTGATTATTCTACAGCAAAAAGATTATTCGGTGAGGATTTTTTGGCAACATTTTCACCTACAGGGTCAATATAACTTAATGTTGCATGTGATGTGTTAACATTACATTACAGGGGGGCACATCTCGATGAATGAATTGGAATGTCGAGATTTGCTATCCATATTCAATACAGTTAGTTTATCTATCAAATATGAACATGTCATCTTGATAAATAAATTTGGGAGATATTATAATTATATTGTATTGCATAATTGCATTTCTCCTCCGATAAAAAATTAGCATTGCCTAGTTTCGCATTAAACTGGAAAAACAGTCATTCAAAACACGGATTTTCAGGTAGGCATATCCACATTAATATTAAGTCTGTAGCTTACTATGGTGAAAGATCCAAAACAAAATACTGCAGCAATGACGAATTATCCTTTAATGAACACAATAGTTGCTAATGCAGAAGTCCCGACGCCATAAGACGTATACGATACATTATTGGTCCACATCTTCGCAAGTGAATTTGAAACTAGAACGACAGTGCTGTAATGTGTAGCCATAGTTTTTTGGGGGGGGGGGGTTTAGCAAACCTAACAAAATACTCGAGTGTAATCTTGTTTTCGTAAATAAAACTACTCACGGAAGCTGGAGATACAAAATCCGATGTCTCGATAAACCTACTTGACGCATGCACAGAGGCACTAGACACATGTTTTCAACGGGGGAGGCCGTCTCGACCTAGCCTGGCTTCTTGCCAGACCCTGTGTAGTTCCGCCATGCTCCCACCAGAGGCGTTTGGCTGAACCACATCGGTCTGGTATCGACGCCATAGCGAACGCCTTCCCCAGATATTTTTTTTAATTGACCAATCAGGATAGCCGGTGTTATGCGGGGTTTGCGCTGCCTTCTCAAGCTTCTCTCATGCAGCAAGCGAGAGGAAAACAAGATGGCGGACGTTAAGTCCGCTAATCTTTTAAAGAGTAAATGACAATCGAATTAAGACACGGAGTACACTTTTAATGCAATTTGAGACCCCCCCCCCGCCCCGCGAGATGTTGATGAAATCTATGTTTATATATGTGTGTTTTAAGAGTCCAAATGTTCCTGTAAAGTTTGTTTTGAAGCACTGGTTCAGTGTTCCTGTTTACACCATGGGAGGGTCCCAGCTCAAAAGTGGCAAAATGGACGTGTGCTGACATGCTTGCAAATACCAGCCCGGCCGTTTGGGGGTGGACCCAGAAGAAGAATAGCATGCTAACATATACTTAAGCAGACCTCTCAAAAACGTCTTCTATCCAGAAGCCGAACACAGCTGCAGAATACGTCGCTGCTCATTTGTCGAAGATCCACGGCCTCGACTGGCATCCGGAGAACGAGTTCATCTTTGCGACATCGAGCCAAGACAACTCCGTCAGGGTGAGTGGATTCTGATCTGTGCATGTTTGTACCAGTCCTGGATCTACAGCCTCAGTCCTGGATCTACAGCCTCAGTCCTGGATCTACAGCCTCAGTCCTGGATCTACAGCCTCAGTCCTGGATCTACAGCCTCAGTCCTGGATCTACAGCATCAGTCCTGGATCTACAGCCTCACTGCTAATTTACACATCACGCGTTACAGCACGTGCGCGTTATACGCGCAGCAGACGCACGTAACGTAATGTTAACCTATGATGATATTTACACTTCTAGCGTTATATGCGCGTATGACGGACGTATGACGCGAAGCTGCGCTCTAATTTAGGATGGATTTCTAATTTTGTGCGCGCACCAACGCGTCTCCCATTGAAATCTCATGTAAAACATGATTTTTCTAGCGGCCCTTGGCTTTAGATCACATCTGCACACACACACACAGGACTTGTGTCTAAACATCAGCAGGAGGAGCAGCAGGTTTTACAGTGATTCTGGACATCGTTTTTTTTCTTTCATAAAGTCTCGCGTCTGGCCAAACCAGCGCACAGAGACCATGAAGACAAACACATGAATGTGATTTGTGTTGCTCTACATCAGTCCTCTGGCCCGTACTGTCCTCTACACTGCTCCATAGACACACACAGGGACAGCATCAGAAGCCGCGGACCTGCGCGCACGGCCTGTGTAGATACTCCAAAAAAATGTTACGCGCAGAGAGCGCGCAGTAAACGCGTACGCGCTGTTTACGCCTACTGTGTAAATTCCCTGTCAGTCCTGGATCTACAGCCTGTCTATCTGTAGAAAATTTGAAAAGTTTCTCAAATTTTCCCATTGCCGGGACATTTAAAGACCTTATGACGGGTTTGATTTATTTAGAAATACAGTTTTAATACCATTTTATATTAGAAGAGAACTACTAAAGGTTTCAAAATCAGTTGTTGTTTTTTTGTCTGATCCCCCAAATCGAAATAACCCCATAGCAACGCCCTTAGAAACGAAAAAACTTCACAGCCCTTGGTGACGTCAGAACGGGTACGTTTCAACGCTGTAAGTTGTTTACAATTTGGTATTCGTTCTTTTTTTGCGGATATTCAAGATGACAAGGCCGTGTACAGCGAGTGTGAGATAAATACTAGAATGTTCCATATCGTGTCACTGAGATAGTCCAGTGGTTGTGTCGATGGACTTCCAATCCAGATACTTGGGTTCAAATCTCACCTCGGACACCTTTTCACACTCAAAACGGCAATTTATGTGTAGTGAGCAATTGTCACCTGTAGAGGGCAGTATTGTGTTGGGCACCAGTGGAGAGAAGAGAGAAAAGGCAGTCCTGTGGCATAGATCCATGGTTTTCAATGCATGGGCGTAACCCGCTATGACGTCACACACAGGTTAGAGCATAGACAACTTAAATTCATGAAAAACACGTTCTTTTTATAAAATAATAGGATATTTTTTGCCGGAATCTCTTTCAAATTGACATTGTCATGCAATTTTGATATCCACTATTTTTTTTTTAAAAACCCGTCATAAGGTCTTTAAGCACATTAATAAACATTTCTGGACAGTGGTCATTCCGCTCCCTATGGACCAATGGCTCCTATGTGCTTGTTATCGTTGCATTTCCAGTGTTCAAACGGTTTGATTCTCTGATCTGTTATTGGTGAATCCACAATCCAACTGCAGTTGTGATTTAGGGCTGTACAGAAACACATTGAATTAAATTGATTGTGTGTTTGTGGACAGTTTTGGGATCACCGACAGCCGAGAAAGTACCTGAACATTCTGTCGTGTCAAGTACCAGTGTGGAAGGCCAGATACACCGTGAGTTTGACTTTTTCATGTATTTCTAAAAATGTTTCTGTAGCGACCCCAGTGGCGATTTTGGGAACTCTATGATGAATAGAACTGACGGTATGACAATATTGGACGTTTTACCAATGCCCAATGCTAACCCGCTAGCTCAACAAAACCCAATGGAGAAGTGTTCATGGGCGAAGTTTTGTAACCGTTTGTGTCACACGCATCATTTTGGGCATAGAAAAAATCTGTGGTTTAAGCGCTCTCTGTGAAATCCAGATATGAGTCATATAACGATACCCCAATCACACGCCTTTATTTTCGTGGGAAACTCCAGCTTGCCTTAGCAACCATCTTAACAACTTGTCTGGCCCTGTTACAGCAAAAAGCTAACCCTGTCGGAACAAACGCCCATATAAGGAAATTGGTTCCAGCTGGCTTATGTTCAAATTGTCCTCTTGTTTTAATGGTAAGACAGTGTTGATGTCACACTGCTCTGGTTTCTCCGCAGCCCTTCTCAAACGGCCTGGTGACGGTGATGGTTCCGCAGCTGCGCAGAGAGAACAGCCTCCTCTTGTGGAGCGCTCTGGAACTGAACAACCCTGTGCACGCCTTTGTGGGACACGACGACGTGGTGCTGGAGTTTCAGTGGAGGCCTCAGAAAGAAGGTGCTCACGCTTCACTCACCCACAAATTCTAGATTCTGAGTCTGACACACAAACTCCCATCTACACACGAAAAACACAATATCTGAAATAATTGATACTCAGGGTTGCGTTGTCGGTCTGGTTCACTTTAACTGGAACCAATTCTGGGCAAAAAGGCTTTATTTGTGGATTTAAAACCACCAAACTATCTTGTTTTGTGTTTCAATCTTGTTTAGTTCACCACTTTTGCTGAGTTTCCGTGTGTATGAACTGTGCTATACAAATAAACTTGCCTTGAGAAAAACATGTCCACTTGTCAGTTAACTCTAGGACTACCAGCATTTTGAATCTACTAGAAACCACTGCAATTCTAAGACATTTCCCCCAAATATGTTTAGTTTTCCACCAGATATATTAATAAGTGCAAAAGAACTGGTGAATAAAACTGAAATAGAGGAAAAAAGGTTTGGTAAAAGGTTGTGGTTGCTATGGTAACCACACAAGGCAAGCCAAGTTTACTTGTATAGCACATTCATTCACGGCAACTCCAAAGTGCTTAACAAACAAAATCACACAAGGCCTACAAAAATCATAAATAATCACATTAAACAAATAGTTCTCTTGTCTGCCATTGATGTTCCTCACTATTTTCATGTTCCCAAATATATGTAATGTAAATAATATGTATGTGGATTAGCTTCAGAGAAAATTTTATCGAGCCAGCAGGTGGCACCAGCGCTGCCTCTGTATGTTTTGAATACCTAAGCAGGGACAGGGCCTGGTTAGTGCTCTGATGGGAGACCTCATCACAGCACTAAGTGCCTCAGTGGGACAGTAGTAGTTCATCACCACTGTGTCAGAAGTCAATGAATAATGACATGTGAAGCTTGAGTGAGTCTATGGGAGCCAGATCCCTCTGTCAACGTCGGAGGGTCTAAGGACTGTGACAATCCAGGACATATTTACATCACGCTCCCTATGTGTTATGTGTTGCAGGCTCTAAGGACTATCAGCTGGTCACATGGTCCAGAGATCAGACCTTGAGGATCTGGAGAGTGGATCCGCAGCTTCAGAGGGTAAAGTAGTGTTGAAGTCGGCTAACGAACCACCAATCCCAAAAAAGTGTGTTGTACTTGTCTAACGTCCTGCTCCTCTCTCTCTTTCTGTCGTCTGCAGCTGTGTGTGAGCGATGTGGACGACCTCATGGAGGGACTGACTCTCACCACAGAAGCAGAGAAGCCGCTGTCTCCGGAGCCTCCACACAGCTCCGGGCCTGTCTCCGGGAGCACGCACGGTGAGACTTCCTGTCCCCACCGAAAGCATGCCCAGCTATCTGTATTTATTTATTTATTCGACTGAGACAGTACATGTCAATTGGCATATTTGTCGACAAGTCAGATTGTAGTCATAGGCAAATTTTCATCTGTAGTCCCAGGGGGCGGGGTCACGGGTCACAATAAAAATACAGCAGTTAAAAACATCAACAACAGGAATTCATACAGTAAGATTCATCAGTTCACTCAGAAGGGGCGTGGCCAATGCTCTCAAAACTTGTTATTATTTTTCTACTTGACTCTACTCTACTCTACTACTACTCTAGTCTACAATTTAGTATCGGGTACCGTATACTAGAAACCTACCCACAACAAGTATCAGTATCCGGGGAAAATTCCTTGGCAACCATGGCTGACAGCAGCACTCTGGCCAATCACTGGCAGTTAGAACATTTTAGTACCAGGTTGGCCTGGATAGAACCAGGGCAAATAGATTCAGATTCAGATTCAGATTCAGTTTATTTGCCATTTGCAGTAAAAAAAACCACATTGGAATACATTAGCGAAAAGTCTCCAGTGTGCACAGACAAATACAGACATAAAACAACATTAAAAGACAAAAATAAAACAAATAAAACAGTAAACAAAAGTCACTGTGAAATCGATCGACTAAAACAGTTCAAAACAAGTGCAAATCATTAAAGTGCTCTGTTCACACTGATAACAGCTTGTGGATAAAAACTGTTAGCGTAACGAGATGTCCTGCATCTCAGAGAGCGATATCTTCTGCCAGAGGGAAGAAGCTGGAACATGGCTTTCCCAGGGTGGCCAGAAGAGTCATTGACAATCCTAAGAGCTTTGTTTAAAAGTCTGGATTTATAAAGAACCTCCAGAACAGGAAGCTCACAGCCCACGGTCCTCTTAGCAGAGCGGAGCACCTTGTTTAAAGCTCTCTTTTCTTTATCTGTGATGTTTCCAAACCACACAGACACAGAACCAACAAGTAAACTCTCAATGGTGCAGCGATAAAAGTTAAGCAGAATCTTAGAGTTAGTGGTAAATTCTCTAAGTTTACGCAGAAAGTAGAGACGCTGACGAGCTTTCTTAACGACTCGGTCAGTGTTTTTAACCCATTTCAGGTCGTTAGACAGAGTTAAACCCAGGAACTTGCACTCCTCTACGATCTGCACTCGGGAGTTGTCGATTACGACAGGCAAATGAGAACTATTGCGACTGAAGTCGTAGACCAGTTCACATGTTTTCGATGCGTTCAACTGGAGGTTGTTAGTTTTACTCCACTGAACCACATTTTGTATCTCTGCTCTATAAGAGGATTCATCATTGTCACTGATGAGACCGATGATGGTGGTGTCATCAGCATATTTAATGATCAAGTTTGAGTCAGAGGAGGACACACAATCGTGAGTGTACAAAGTAAAAAGCAAAGGACTCAAAATACATCCCTGAGGAGAACCAGTGCTCACAGAAACAACATCTGAAAAACAGTCATTGATTTTCACTCTCTGAGATCTGTCAGTTAAAAAGCTAAAAATCCATTTACACATGGCAACACTTAAACCGAGAGACATGAGCTTTTCAATCAGTTTACCTGGGACAAGGCAGTTAAAAGCAGAGCTATAATCGATGAAAAGCATTCTCGCGACAGATTTACCAGTGTCCAAGTGACTGTAGACAGAGTTCAGAGCAAAGGAGATGGCATCCTCCACACTCCTGTTCTGTCTGTAAGCAAACTGGAGCGGGTCAACACTCACAGGGATCTGGCTCTTAATGAAGTCCAGCACAAGCCGCTCAAAAGTTTTCATAAGGACAGACGTGAGGGCCACAGGACGATAGTCATTCAGGCATGTCACAGGAGTTTTCTTAAAGGAATAGTTCACCGTTTTTACATACTGACATATGTTCTTACCTTACCTTAGACTAGTTAATATGTACCTGTCTGGTCTTAGTCCGTGCGCTCTGTCATGCAAACGGAGCAAAAACGGGAGCACAAACACAGCCTCCTCTGTATACTGTGTAGGACCAAAAGGTAGCTCCCGCTAGAAGCTACCAAACTCTTCCAAGTGTTCCCTATTAAATGTATATAGTTACGTGACGTGTTACACTGCAAAGTATAGTAACACAGAAATGTAACAGTCGATTTTCTCAGCGGATAAAACGGGTACTATATTATGAGGCGTAGTAATCTGAGGAGCGCTACGTCCGCGCACTAACTTCTCTCCGTACTACAAGTCACGCTGCTTCTATTGACGGAAGTGAGCGAGAGAGAAGTCTCCGGAGAGAAGTTAGTGCGCGGACGTAGCGCACCTCAGATTACTACGCCTCACAATATAGTACCCGTTTTATCCGCTGAGAAAATCGACTGTTACAATTCTGTGTTACTATACTTTGCAGTGTAACACGTCACGTAACTATATACATTTAATAGGGAACACTTGGAAGAGTTTGGTAGCTTCTAGCGGGAGCTACCTTTTGGTCCTACACAGTGACCAGAGGAGGCTGCATTTGTGCTCCCGTTTGTGCTCCCGTTTTTGCTCCGTTTGCATGACAGAGCGCACGGACTAAGACCAGACAGATACGTATTAACTAGTCTAAGGTAAGGTAAGAACATATGTCAGTATGTAAAAACGGTGAACTATTCCTTTAACTCATTGTGTCCCATTGACGCACAAATACGTCAAAGCAAATAGTAACGTCGTGTGCCATTGACGCATTAATCCGTCAATTGCCTTTTTCGCTATTTTCACGTTCCCAGATGTCTATTGTATCTAATATATATGGGGATGACTTGAGACCATATTTTATCGAGCCAGCAGGTGGCAGCATTGCTCTCTGAATGGTTTCAAAACATGTAGGTGCACATGCTGTGCCTCTTTTTTCTCAACTTTCTGGTGATTTCTGGTGATTTCAGTAAAACTTCCCTCTACTCGACGGAGGATTACAGGGGAACGGAAAAAGCTATAAACAAAATTCTTTTTGCTGATGAAAGTAGACAGTCCATTCTTTTAGAATCTGGTGTTGGATTTCAGATAGTCATAGTACACAATATTCTGTGGGTCTTTAAAAATCAGTAAAAATCATCAGAAATGGCTGGCACTGTGGGAGTACCTGTTCTGAAATAGGCTGGCATTCAATGAGTCGGCCCTCCGGCACTTTCTCTTTTGTGTCCTGTCCGAGTCTGCTTTAGCCCACGGCGCCTTCTGCTTATTTGTCACTATTTTAACCTTCACAGGGCCAACGGTATCCAGAACATTCAAAACACTAGAGGTGACAGAGTTAAACAGTTCATCTACAGTATCATTCCCATAAATAGATCACTCGTATTTTCATTTATGCGCCTTCTTCGAACAGTTGCAGAGTCCACTGGTGGTTTGTTAGTGAAACACATGTCAAAAAAAAACACAGAAATGATCCGAAGGAACAACATCGACCACATTTACATTTGAAATATTCACCCCCTTAGTAACTAACAGGCCTAGAGTGTGCCCTCTGCTGTGGGTGGGGCCACTCACATGCTGAGTGAGACCAAAAGATTCAAGAACAGAACTCAGGTCATTTGCATTTCTCTCACTAACATTATCCACATAATATTAAAATCACCTGTAATAACTAAACTATCAAAGTCTGTGCATACAACTGAAAGCAACTCGGTAAAATTATCAATAAAACTGTGACATGACTGCGGTGGCTTGTATAGGACAATGAAGAGTATTGGAGGAGATTGTTTTTGTTGTATTTTAAAAGACACATATTCAAAAGACGGAAACTTCCCAAGAGACATTCTATGGGAGACAAAGTGGTCTCTAAAAATGGCAGCTATGCCTCCTCCCTTTTTGTTCCTCACTGGATGAGTTTCAGACAGACAAACTGGAGCACCAGCTCGAGCACCGTGACTTTTTTTGTTCAAAAGTACATTATTACAAGCATAGACCAACTTTAGCTGTGTCTAAATCCGAGTGAGTTAGAAACGGGAATAAGCGCTGTGTATGGGGAGGAGAAGCAGCGACTTCTGTGTGTGAGTCGAGGCGTAGGAGGAGGAGCGAGACACAGGTGTGAGCTGCTGATGTTTAGTCCGAATGTATACAAAACGTGTTATAAAAGCTTCGCTTGTCCTGCTTCAGTGCTCACTGCGAGTGCAGAGGATTTTGCGCATAAAAAGCGTCTGTTGTTGTCAGAGTCTGTGGAGGCGATGACAGATTTGTTATTGGATGCAAAAGAAGTCTGTCTGATCCCTTATCATCCACAATGAACATGTGTTACTTAAACTTATGTATTCAGTCATTATTCAATGCTAAATTAAAAATCCATGTGAAAAAAATGTCTTCTCACCGTTATCAGGTCAAATATTTATATGCGATTTAAAATGCGTTTAATTCTCTGAGGAGGCATCATGTTAGCTCACAACAACATGGTTAGCTTCTGTGTTTGAGAATAAAAGTTCAAAGCATCCCTGAATGCAAAGGGAAAAATAGCTAATTTCCTTATCATAATACGTCTCATTTAAATAAAACGTGAAGTCTTGTGCTGTATGTATTTCCTAACAGACTAAAGAAAAGTCGAGCAGAGAGAGCGACTCGGACAGCAGTGACTCGGACTCGGACTCGGACTCGGACTCTGAGGCGGAGGAGGAGACGCGGCCTCCCATGGACGTGTTCAAGGCCATTTTCTCCTGTTCCTCCGACGAGAAATCTTCATCCGAGAACGAGGAAGAAGAGAAGGAAGAACCGGAGCACATCACACACAATCTCTTCAACATCGACATCAGCGCTCTCCCCGCCCCTGCTGTAGCCACGCCCCCTAGTGCGCCAATCAACCGGAACACGGGTAAATGCAAAGAAAACCACACCACACCAAATCCCCGACCAGATGTTACTTACCCCATTCACATAAACCTCAAGTGACATTTTTTATGTATGTTCTGACAATAGCCCTATGCATATAAAAAGTTTATAGTTAGTCCTGTGCATTTCCCTTGTCCGCTCTATTCACAAAAACACACACAGATCACACACATCTGGGTGCGTTTATGTGAATAGATCACAAAATGTAGCTCCTTTTAACCAGACACAACATGATTTCATAAAAACTACTTCTACTTTCACAATACCATGATACTTTGCAAGCTGAGTGGGTCATATCTTATTGAATCTTTCCAATGCTAAATGGTCACATGGATCCAGCTGTTTTCTTTTATGGACCTTCTTGCTGTGAGGCGAAAGTTTCCATTAAACATAGACTTTAAGATTCAACAAAAACAAAGGTTAAACAGATTTCTACACTAATTTTTGAAATCAGAAATGGGACAAAGCTCATAATACTTGAGTCCCGTTGATTTAAATGTTGCAGTTCTGTGATAAGCCAGCAGATGGCAATGAATTCTATTGTTTTTGTGCATGTTTCAAACTCACTCTAGTTTTCCTCCACAGCTTTCCCATCTGGACTTGCACAATTCTATAACTCCCACTGCACATTTAAAAACAAATTCAATTCAATGTTTGTGTGCAGCCCTGAATCCTTAGCAACTTATATAACCCTGTGTGGAAAAAAATGAGAAACTTTGGGGAGGCCCATAATGAGAGAGAGAGATGTCAACTTTACTGTTTCTATGGGAGTGATCCACCTCAAGCTAAAATTATGGGATTTGCTTAAGTATCAAAAAGGTGACGTGTTCCAAAATTACAAACTCCCTTTAAATGCGTCACATTCTTATAAACCCATTTTTATGAATAGTTCAACAGTTCTTGTTCTATTCCTAATGTCTGTCAGATCATTCTGCTCTAGCTTTAGTCTGATTCTACAACTGTTCATGGTTTCCCCTCCAGCTCACTTTTGACAGAGTAAATTGGAACTTCTTATTCACCACGCTACAACAATTTGGCTTTGGAGAGTCGTTTGTCCAATGGGTCAAGATTTTATACACGTCACCGTCTGCCACCGTCACAACAAATGGTCTAACTTCACAAAGTTTCACACTACACAGGGGAACTAGGCAAGGATGTCCACTCTCTCCGTTATTATTCACCATTTTTATAGAACCACTGGCAGCCACTATACGACAAAATCAAAAGATTAAAGGTATAGAATTGTCTCAATCCCACAAAATTTCCCTTTACGCCCCGACGACATCCTTTTATTTATACAAGACCCCAAACCACCATCCAGGAAATAATCCAAACCATCCAGTCATTTTCTAAGATCTCTGATTATGCAATTAACTGGAACAAATCATCTATACTCCCTCTATCCAAAACTAAATGGGATGTGGCAGCTCAACAATCCCCCATCCCCCTATGCACCAGTCACATCACTTACCTAGGAATAAAGACCTGCCCCAGGCTGTCAGAGGTGATGACATTAAACTTTACACCCCCTTATTAAAAACAACAGAACAAGACCTCCTCCGCTGGCTCAACCCACCACTCTCCATAATTGGAAGAATCGCAGTTATTAAGATGGCCATCCTACCCAAAATAAATTATCTTCTCTCAATGATTCCAACACATCCCACACTTAACTGGTTTAAATCACTAGACTCAATCATCTCTGCATTCTACTGGAAAAACAAAACTCCAAGGATTAAACTTACCACACTGCAAAAACAAAAAACCCATGGTGGTTTAGAGGCACCAAACTTCCTGAATTATTCACTTGCAAATCAAATACAATATATATATAAATGGACCCACCCCACGCAATCAGACACAATTTGGCTAGACACTGAACAATCATTCTGTAAGGACTTAAATATAGCCGACATCCCATTTCTCACCAAATCTATTAAACAGCACACATGCTTTAAAGCAATAACAATAGCCTCGACTCTGACAGCCTGGTGGAAATACCACCACATCACAAACTCAACACTTGCCCCCTCTAACCTCACTCCACTATGGAATAACCCAGACTTCACCAGCAATAAAAAAACACTCTACTTCCGCACATGGGCCGAAAAAGGTATAACTCACATGAACAATATTTTCACTTCAAACACAATCAAAGAGTTTCCACGTCTGGCCCAGGAGTTTGGCATAGGGAGCAATCATTTTTTGAAATATCTTCAGCTTAAATCAGTCCTAACAAAAATAAACATTGGATCATCACACCTGCAAACTCCACCTGCCGTATCAGAATTGCTCAACATCTCATCTGCAAGAAAATTAATCTCTAAAATATACAAAATAATCTCAAATTCAGACAAAATAATATGCTTGCCAACAACAAAATGGGAAAATGACCTGTCAATTGCTCCCGATGCTAACTCCTGGTCCCAGATTTGTAAAAATATCTCCTACATGTCCAAAAATGCCAACATTCAATTAATACAATACAAAGACACTGCACAGAACACACTACACCGGTAGTAGGCTTGCTAAAATGGGTTTCACATCAGACATATGTCCACACTGCACTCAGAACTGTCCCGATACACACATTCATGCTACCTGGAACTGCACCCCCATCAAACACTTTTGGGAAGAGGTCACACGATCACTGTCATCCCTGCTGGGCTGCCGCATCCCATTATCCCCCCCCCCTCTGCCTGCTAGGGGATCTATCAATGATCACTGATAAAGCCATAAATTTTAAAACACTTTTGATAGCTCTAACCATCGCCAAGAAAACCATCTTTGTAAACTGGAAATCCCGCAATAACATAAATATAAACCACTGGAAAAACCTTTTCACAGACTTCATCTCATTGGAATGTTCATCATCACCCCCCTGCAATTATCCTTCAGAGTCCAACCCCTCACTCCCAACACTGCCGGACCTTTCCCTTCTTTAAATCACCAACTAACAGCAACAAAATTATTTCACTCGCTCACTCATTCACTCATTTACTTATAACAGCTTTTTTCACTCTACCTCCTTCCACTAAAACACTAAATAGCTCGTATAATATTCCACTGCCGTAACTTCTATATATGATTATTACTGTTATCTGATAATGCTGCCACTACTTCATACTGTGACAGCTACTGCTACTGACTGCTACTGCTACTACTACTGCCACTACTACTACTACTACTACTACTACTACTACTACTACTACTGATACTACGACGCTGCTGCGGGAGGTTGGTTGCCGCTGTCTTTGCCTTCAGCACCACAAGACAATCATTGAATCCATACATACTCTCCCTGGTTCACCCCCACCCATGTTGTTTTTAATGCACCTCCACCCCCCCACAATAAAAAAAAAAAAAAAAAAAATATATATATATATATATATATATATATATATAAACAAACACTTGAATAGACTTGTAGGAATCAGGGCAGTTGAGAAGTGCCCTTAGGAGGCGCCGCCATCCTAGGTTGGCACCCTCAAAATATGTCCTCTTTTAATGCACATTAGACACCTGTACATAAGGATAACACAAAACAGGAACAAGAACCTATATGGAGGGGATGGGGGATCAGGGAGCAGAAGATCCATGCACTACACCCATCAGGAATCAGACATCGTCGGTGGGGAAGGCAGTGGCGGCCACCCTCCTGTTGCTAGTGTTATGGTTTTCATTATAATTATTAATATTATTGTTAATATTGATGGTGGTAGTGGTATTAGTATTATACATATTATTACTATTTATTCTTTAATTTTTTCTCTTTTTATATTTGTAAGCAATGCACATGCGCACACACACACACATTCACACACCACGCACATGCACACACATCTACACAAAACTTTGTTCACTGTCCCTGTCTGTATTCTATGTATTCTTGTATGTCTTGTACCGTGTATGCTTGTCACTTACCTGTCTGTTTTTGAATTTTGTATTGTTTAAGTAGAATAAAAATTAAAAAAAAAAAAAAAAAAAGACAAAACAAGAGACGAACAGGATTGTTTTGGTCCAAAGCTGCCTCCACCATCTTCTACTTTGAGTGAGTTCACATGCTCTAAGTATTCATGATGGGGTCTCTCTGGTCTCTCTGGTCTCTCTGGTCTCTCTGGTCTTTCTGGTCTCTCTGGTCTCTCTGGTCTCTCTGGTCTCTCTGGTCTCTCTGGTCACTCTCTGGTCACTCTCTGCTCTGTCGGTCTTTCGCTGTGTGTATACTCTCAACAACATCATATAACCGCTAGTATAAAATGTCAGTTCTTTTTTGTCAGAAGAAAATGAACTGTATAATATTACTATGTGAAATGTTTTGTTCGTTTAAATCACAACTATTTTTTTCCTTTTGTTCAGGCAGGAGCACAGGTCTCCGGCCCAGATCCAGGTCTCCCAGTCCAGGTGAGAAATCCAAAAAGTCCAAAGACAAGAAAAACAAGAATAAAAAGGAGCATAAGCACAAGAAGGAGAAGAAGGTAATGATTTTAAATGCTGTTTTGCAACATCGAAAAGGGACAAAACCAGGACCACATCACAATCTAAACCTGGACTAGACCCAGACCCAGGTTTTCCGTCCAATTTAGACCATTTCTGGCCTCAATTATTATTATTTTTGACCAGTTTAATCCACTTTATAATGTAACAAAAGCTAAAGTCTTGAAAAAGCAACACTTTGAGACCACGGCCTGCTGTCGTCATCTTCATATACAGCATGATATCTTTTGCATACAGAACCAGTATTTGACACCTTGGGCTGTGGGTGGTCCTTTTCTGAAAAATCCGATCTAAAGATGGGACAGAAGCCTAAAACACATGCGTGTGAAAACCAGTGATTTAATAAAACTGTTTAGAGAGTGAGGAACGAGTGACATGGATTTGTATTTCATATTTCAATTGTTTGTGGAAATTCTATATCCCAGCTTTAAGAGCTGGTTTGGTCCTGTTGTAGAGTTGTGGCTGCATCTGAATTCATAAAACATGCCGCCTTTGTTATCCTTCCTAGTAATTTTAAACCCTTCTTTAATGTTTTTTTCCTGTGTTTTTTCCGCCAGCTCTACTCTACTCTACTCTACTCTTCTTGAATCTCCATTAAACGCTTTAATATCTGGGACTGTATCCTAGCATCCTACCCACAACACCCAGTAGCACTCTGGTCAATCACTGTCAGTTAGCACTTCCAAGTACCAGCTCGGCCTGGATAGAACCAGAACCAAGAGGGACTAAAGAAAAAACCTGGTACTGGTTAAACAGGGCTGATGGAAACACTCCAGGGCAGGGCAGAGCATGGGGCAGGGTAGGGTAGGGCTGTTGGAAAGGGGGCTTATGTCTCTATAAAATGCTGTTTCTCTGTATTAATGTCATTAATCCTGTTTTTTTGCAGAAGAAGAAGCATAAAAAACATAAGCACAAAGGCAAAGAGAAGAAAATTCGGAAAGACGAGAGCAGCTCTGAAAGCGACAGCGACGAGAACGCGGCAGAAGTGTGTACAGAGGAACTGCTCCGGAGGTCTGTGAGGAAATCCACAAGGTGTAATCAGCCCAAGTCCCCAGAGCACTCTGATCATTCTGGCCCATTTCATTGAGCTGCTGCAGTGCACAGAATCTCCAGATTTGTCCCCAAAGCCTTCACTCCGATACTTGCGATACGAAAAAGATAAATAAATCTATAATAAGAATACTTTTGAGAAGGAAGTCATCAAGGAATACAATTGTAAATGCTGTTAGTTTGATAACTCTGGTCTCTCTCTGGTCTCTCTCTCTGGTCTCTCTGGTCTCTCTCTCTGGTCTCTCTCTCTGGTCTCTCTCTCTGGTCTCTCTCTGGTCTCTCTCTGGTCTCTCTCTCTGGTCTCTCTCTCTGGTCTCTCGCTCTGGTCTCTCTGGTCTCTCTCTCTGGTCGCTCTCTGGTCTCTCTCTCTGGTCCCTCTCTCTGGTCTCTCTCTCTGGTCTCTCTCTCTGGTCTCTCTCTCTGGTCTCTCTCTCTGGTCCCTCTCTCTGGTCTCTCTCTCTGGTCTCTCTCTGGTCTCTCTCTGGTCTCTCTCTGGTCTCTCTCTGGTCTCTCTCTGGTCTCTCTCTGGTCTCACTCTGGTCTCACTCTGGTCTCTCTCTGGTCTCTCTCTGGTCTCTCTCTGGTCTCACTCTGGTCTCTCACTTTCTGGTTTCTCTCGTCCTGGTTTCTCTGGTCTCTCCCTGTGTCTTTCTGTCTCTCTCTGGTCCCTCTCTCTGGTCTCTCTCTCTGGTCTCTCAGTCCAAAAGCATCAATTCAAATCTGAAGTAACCATTTCTCTTTGTTTCAGGTTGAAGACCGTCCGCTCTCAGTGTCCTCTGTGAGGACTCAAGTCAAACCTCAACAATCCAACAATAAATTCTATCTATTGTACACTTGCTGCGGTTGAGCCATTATTTTAGTTTGAAACATTCTCAAAATAGAAGAACATAAGAGAACATAAGACATGTAATAAGAAACGCATATGAGCCGTTGGATCAAAGGGACGACCACTGTCTCTAAATTACTAAACCTCTTTGGACATTATTATTGCTGTTAAAGGTAGCTTTTTAAAATACTACAGATAATTATCATTATTGTTAAGATTCAATGCACTGAGGAGGAGGAGCAGTGTTTGGGAGAAGAGCATGGACATTTTCACAATGGTAGAGGTAAATAAAGCAGCATGAGGGCATCCAGAGGCCCTAGTATATATCAACATATGGTTTGAGGCCCCAGTATATTTCTATAGTTGTGTCACTTAAATAATGTTTGTAATGTTTGATATCCTTCTGGAAGCTATCTGAACCTATGGGCTCTTTTAAAACACACATTTTATATTGTGAGACATCAGAGTATGTTCTGCTGATCCTGCTGAGAACCTGCTGAACATTCTACACATCACTGGAGAAGCAGTGAGTAAAACTACAATCTTTAAGTCACTTTGCGTAACTGTTTAGGTCAGTGGTAAACCTTTGAAAATTGGGTTTATCTCATTTTGGAAATGTGGGGACCGTTGTTGCTAGGCAACAATGCCTTTCAAAGAACCCATAGTTCTAGAAATCTGGTTGCTATGGAAACCTTTGCAATGCCATAATCCCTTTATGACATCAACGGTTTCCATAGCAACCAATGGGATTTAAAAACTATGTGTGTGTGTCAAATATCTTAAGCTGTCACACAGGACAATTCAAGGAGAATTGGAGTCAACCCGAGCGAAAAGCCAATCAGAGGATTTGACCCAACAGGAAGAAAACAGTGATGGACGACGGACGCCTGGACCAAGAGAAGAGGCTCATACAGTCTTTGCTCTTGAAGTGGAGACAGGCTGAGAGAGAGCATGCCCAATCAGAGCAGCTCTGGCAGGAGAAACTAGAAACCTGCCTGACTGCTGAGGATCTTGGAGGAGACCACCCATGGAAGAAGTCTGAGGAGGCTTGGTTCCTGAAGGAGAAATCCTTTCATATCCATGTGAAGGGGTTGCTGCGGTCTATGGAGAGAAAGCTGGAAGAAGATTCCGACGAGTGCCCGGACTTATACGAGCTTCAGGAGCAGTTCTGTGAAAGAAGATTGCACTTGGAGTGCCGTAGAAGTCAATGGCTTCAAAAGGATGCATGGTTCCAAAGGGGAGAGGCCTCACAGAATCAAATCGAGTTTCAGAAAAACAGAATTTTCACTTTGAAGGGCAAAATAACTTCCTTGGAGCAGGAGCAAGCAACCATTTGTGAAAAATGCATAGAAAATGCGCTGACGGAAAGCATGGATCTCTCAGATAAGTTAGAAGAGAAGGCAAAGCTAACACTTCGGGAGAGCAACCTGAAAGAGCAGCTAGCTTTAAAAGAGAAAGCGTTAGTGCAGGCCCGACTCGATGCATTGAACAAAAACCAGCAACACATTCAGGAGAGACTCCAGTGGATGCAGCAGGAAAATGCACGGACAAATGTTTTTATGGACAGGTTTAACAGCCTAAGTCAGAGGTTTGGACAGCCTCCACTGAGCGAGGATAAGCTTCACAAAGACAAACAGACAGAAGTTGAAAAGCAAAGTCAGAACATGGTACAGCTGCTAATCGAGCCCCCAGCAAAACATCAGATCAATGTAGAAGAGATTTTTTCTGCCGGTGGTAGAGGCATCAAGTGCACGGCTTCCAAAACTGGAGAGTCATTTTATGTCAGTGATGCAAGACTCTTCCGGAAATTTCTCAGTGAGCAAAATCTGAAAGGCGCTAAAGAATGTTCAGAGCCTAAAGTTCGGCCCATAAGGAGGCCTGGATGTATTGGATTCAGGAGAGGTATGCTACTGGATCCAGCCAGGTGGGCAAAGCCACCGAGAAGACAAGAGGTGAACAAGCCTCCACCACAAGAAAAAGTCATCACTGCGGAAGACTTTCTCTCCAGAGGTGGTGCAGGGCTTAAATGTACGCTTAACCAAACTGGAGAGGTCTTTTACGTCAGTGATGCTAGACTTTTCCGCCAATTTCTTAATGAGCAGGAGTGTCAAGAAAACTTTGTTTGGATTGGTGAAGGCTCAGAGACAAACCAGGCTGAACTAGAGGAGAAAATCCACTTTGTTGAAGATTGTCTCCCACTTGGCAGCGGGAAACCATTGCCTTTTGGAGGTTTATTCACTTTCTCCAAATCAAAGGCCAAAAACAATAATAACCTTGAGGAGTAAGTTAGTGGCAAGAGTGGATAGGCTGAGGTGTTCCCAGCCTCCCAACCTCACTGAGCAGGAAGTGTCCTGTAAGTGAGAGTCATTTCAATGCATTTAGGGACACCTTTACAAGTTTATGAAGTTTAATGGAGCTTTAACAAATTTCCATAAGTTCTACTTTTGAAAGGGGGACCTCATAAACCAGCAGGGGCTACAGGGGTCTTGGAAGCCCTCCATGTTGATTCACAAATCAGCATGGAAGGCTGATCAGCTAAAGTCTGGAACAGCCTTCCATGAAATGTGAGACAGGCTCACATTTACTGGAAAGGACATTTTAACAGCTCTTTCGTGCAATTCCCTCGGTTAATCCCCTTGTTTGGTGATTTATTTTGTGTGTTTTTCTTTTTGTTTGATTTGCCTTCACGTTTGTGTTTGCTGCGTGTTTTGCTTTGCTTTGCCATTTGTTTGCATGTTTTACTGTTAACTTCATTTGCTTCCCTTAAGTTGAGTTTTTGCATTATTTTGCTCGCTTTTATCCATTCCTATAGGTTTATAGTGTGTTTAACTATTGTAATAAAATAAATATTTTTGTACAGTTGTAACACTGTTTCACGTCTCATCAATGTCCACGGCCCTGTGCGCTTTATTCTATCCGATAAGTCCAGTTCACATTTTTCCAAGGTACTGGCCCTGGGTGGCGCTGTTGGTGCTGCTATTCATTTTTTTTGTAGTAACCAAAGTTGAAAATCCACTCGGACTTCCACACATGCACGATTAAGCATTTCCTTCACACTTGCTTTATCATTTACCATACTTTTTTACTGACTATTATATGTTGAAATATGAGTGTCGATTTGTCTGACTCAAAAAAAAGATGGCAACGAGTAGTACTCGAGTACTCGAGTGCCGACATGGAACGCCGTTTCCACGCGTAGTAGACGCACATTCTCAAATTTCAGAGGCTAAGGGTGTGCTGACCAGAAGTACCGGGCTGCGGTGGCCCCCGGTGAAAGTAACGGAAGTGCTTTAATGCTAACGGAATGAAGCTAGTGGCTTTTTGTGTGAAGTTCTTCTCCAATAATGCAGCTCTGCAGCATCTCTGTGTCCATATACCTTCCATAGATATATATATTTATTATATGACTTGGATCTTACGCGCGCTCTGATTGGCTGATTTACGGTCTTAAGCTTTTAACGGAATTAAGCTAGTGGCTTTTTGTGTAAAGTTCTTCTCCAATAATGCAGCTCTGCATTATTGGAAATATCAAACCATAAGCCGTTAATACAGGTCCCTTTCAAAAAATTGATTAACTGTCATGCAATTTTGATATCCACAATAAAAAAAAACCCTGCATAAGGTCTTTAAAACAGCGGTGGACGAGTGCTGTACAGTTGGAGATGGTCGCTAAAACTACATGGCCTCAAAGAAAATGTGAATGAAGATGTGAGGAAAGAAGTCATCATCGTCCTAGGGAAAGTTGCTCCCTGTTTGCAGGTTTACCTGGAGGATGGTGTCAATAGCTCTGTTATTGTAAATGACAACACTACCAAAAGGTTTGATATAACAAGGATGTCCGATAAGTCCTTTCATTTTTGTTTTGGTTGTGGAATTGTTATCTAAAAATATTGTCAGTAGCCCGGAACTGAGGGGTATTTCGATTTTCGATAGAGAAATACAAATTTCACAACTTGTTGATGACACAGCTCTTTTTCTGAAAGATAAAAATCAGATGCAGAACGCAATCTCATAAATTGAAGAATGCACAAAGGCCTCAGGCTTGAAACTCAATGTATCCAAATGTGTGAAGATCTATTTCTAGAGAATATTCCAGTCAAACAGTCTGTTAAAAGAAAAGATAGTCCACCAACTGTCTCAAAAATATGATTGGGGATAAAGTACCAGATAGACTAAATTTGCAAGAGATCTTTTTAACCAGTTAATTTGAAATGTATTTACAGTATCGGAAAACTCTAAAACTTCTAGCCCTCCTTCCACTTTTGCATTCGAGAGTACAGCCTTTTTGAGCTTATGAGGTTTTTCTTTCCAAATGAAATTTAAAAAAAGAGAGTTAATTTCTTTGGATATGCGTTCATCTATATATAGTGACGGTAAAGGATAAACAAAGCGAGACAGACCATCTGCCTTAGACAGAAGAACTCTACCATACAAGGTTAAGTCTCTCTGAAGCCAGAGGTTAAAGATACTTTGGTTTTAATAATTCTATGATGAAAATAAAAAGGTTGTCTAGTTGTCTTGTTTTTTGTAATTTGAATACCCAAATATTTAACATGTAATTACACACCTACAAAACTACCTGTGTCATTGTCTACTTTCCAGCAGCAATGTCTGCTTGCTTGGAAATTGTGCTTCAATCATTATTTCTCTCCACATAGATATTCCTTGTGGAACAAAACAAACATGTTACAATAAGAAATCGGTCTTTGTTTTTTCCCAAATGGTTCCGAAAAAATATGAATACGATTGTGTCTCTATTGGATGAACAAGGATCTTTTTTATCTTATGAACAGTTTATGGTGAAGTATGAATTCCCTATTCCCTTCAGAGAATACAACTCTGTAATCAAAGCCATCCCTCCAGAGTTGCTCCATCTTATAAGATGCCATTTGTCCTTTTACAACATCAACAATATTGTTGCTAGCTCTATTGTGCTCACCTTAAATGGGATTCATTTACTTGATAGAAAATGTAATAATCACCATATCCGTCAAATGTTTCAAAGTCATAACAAAATCACTCCTAGGTGTACATTTTTCTGGAACTCCTTAATAGCGGAAATAGACTGGAAGAAAACCTGGCTATTGCCATATAAATACTGCATTACAAACAAAATGAAGGAAGTTCATTTTAAGATTGTTCATAAAATTTACCCTGTCAACTCTGTCGTCTCAAGGTTTGCAGATGTTGATAAAAACTGGACATTCTGTCAAACACAGGAAGAAACTCTCGAGCACTTGTGTTTCTATTGTAACATTGTTCAAACATTTTGGACTGAATTGAGTAATTATATTTTCCAAAATTGTCCAACGAGCCATTGTTTTACATTTAAAGATATTATCTGTTATTTTGAAGATGACACAACCACAAGGTTATGTAACTATGTAGTTAATATTTTCATTCTGTCTGGTATGAATAAGAAAAGCAAACGACTCCAAGACTGTTACAAAGACTTCTTTGATAAAAAACCCCTGACACGGACTAATGAACTTGTTTTTGGTTTATTAATGTAATTTTATTTTGTATGTCGTTTTTTGTTTGTTATTTTAATATGAGCTCTTTATTTTCAGATGTCTCGCCTTTGACGATTGTTGTAAATTGAAAATTTATAAAATATATATATATATATATATATATATATATATATATATATATATATATATATATATATATATATATATATATATATATATATATATATACTTCAACTACAAGTCAGCTCCGTTGCTATGGTGACCGGTCTCTTTAGCATGCTTTGCTAACACTAGTGTAACTTGTGCCGCTTCGTGCCATAGTGTATTTACGGGCTCATGACCATTCAGTGTTCATTGTGCCCCCCGCAGTCTGTTAGAAAGAGTCCATTTGTATTGAAAACATGTCTGTGAAGCAAAGTTTAGCCGCAGAGACAGAGGCGGACGCGGGCAGAGAAGAGGATGGACCAGAGGCACCGGAGTGGAGCTCCGACACACAGGTGACGTTAGCATGTTAGCATGTTAGCATACTATTATACTAGTATTATATTATTATACTATTACTATTATAAAGTATATACTGACTATTACTTCCACACAGTATGTACTGAGGTTCACAACTGAAATAATCATCTCACCAGGATTTGAAGGCAATTGATATATATATTAAAGTATTAAGTTCAGTTTGTAAAGTACATTACTAAAAAGACCAAATGAAGGCATAGATCATTATGTTACATGTGTCTGACACAAATCCAAAACTTGTTTTCAATAATTATTTCACAGCATTGATGGATTGCAATATGAACCATATGGAATATATGTATGTGGTTCATGTCAAACTACATGTGGGTTCAAATCGAGGTATGAACAATAGCCTTCACAAAATGGACAAACACAGACATAAGGCTATTGGTCATAAAGGTATAACACAATGTTATACATCAATAACATATTTTACACTGACAGAAGGCAACCAGTATGTTCCATCGGCCCCTCCGACCACCAGCCACACACACACCAGACTCATTCTAGGCACTATGTGTGAAGTGTCTTGCCTAAGAACACAAAAACACTACTGGCAGGCAATTTTCCCCACTGAGGGGCGAATAAAAGTTCATCTTCTCTTCCTTACCCTGGGCCTTGGACGCCACTACTCATCATCAGACTTCTACAAGGCATTTGTGTGTGTTGAGGTCTCCCATCACAGATCTGACCATGCCGTGTCCTGTGTGTTGGTCAGGTCCCGGTGCGGTCTCTCCGGGCGCACAACGACTCGGTCACCGCGGTACGCTTCTGCCTCCAGGACTCACACTTCCTCAGCTGCTCCTCGGACTGCAGCGCGGTGCTCTGGGTCTGTCTCTGCACGACACACTCATAACACATGATAAGAACAGGAGGAGAGAGACCAGAGAGAGAGATCACAGAGAGAGACCAGTGAGAGAAACCAGTGAGAGAGACCAGAGAAAGACCAGAGAGAGAACAGAGAAAAACCAGAGAGAGAGACCGGGAGAGACGAAAGAGTGTCACAAGGTAAAACAAGGAAGGACCAAAAGAACAATTGCAATATAATGTATCTTAATAAATGCCACTCAAAAAAGAAGAGGACACAGGAGCACAGGGTCTAAATGCACAGGAGCACAGGGTCTAAATACACAGGAGCACAGGGTCTAAATACACAGGAGCACAGGGTCTAAATACAAAGGAGCACGGTCTAAATGCACAGGAGCACAGGGTCTAAATACACAGGAGCACAGGGTCTAAATACACAGGAGCACAGGGTCTAAATACAAAGGAGCACGGTCTAAATACACTGGAGCACAGTGTCTAAACACACAGGAGCGCAGGGTCTAAATACACAGGAGCGCAGGGTCTAAATACACAGGAGCACAGGGTGTAAATACACAGGAGCACAGGGTCTAAATACACAGGAGCACAGGGTCTAAATACACAGGAGCACAGGGTCTATACTGTATACTCAGGAGCACAGGGTCTATACTGTATACTCAGGAGCACAGGGTTTATACTGTATACTCAGGAGCACAGGGTTTATACTGTATACTCAGGAGCACAGGGTTTATACTGTATACTCTTCTTCTTTAAACACTCAATCTCTTTAAACACTCAAATGTATAGAACTCGTCATATATTGTAATGTTACACACAACATATAGAAAAATCAACAACTGTCACACAAAACACTGAATGGAGAAAGGGGTAGGAGTTTATAAGTCCCCACTTCTTCCTACTCCTTTTTGAGCACTTTCAAGCACTCAGCACTGATGTATGTGCTTATTTGTTACAACATTATTCTGTATAAATGTATGTAACATGTTCATACTAAGATTGCTCAAATAAATAAAAAAATAAAAAAAATAAAAATAAAAATATACTCAGGAGCACAGGGTCTATACTGTATACTCAGGAGCACAGGGTTTATACTGTATACTCAGGAGCACAGGGTCTATACTGTATACTCAGGAGCACAGGGTTTATACTGTATACTCAGGAGCACAGGGTTTATACTGTATACTCAGGAGCACAGGGTTTATACTGTATACTCAGGAGCACAGGGTTTATACTGTATACTCAGGAGCACAGGGTCTATACTGTATACTCAGGAGCACAGGGTCTATACTGTATACTCAGGAGCACAGGGTCTATACTGTATACTCAGGAACACAGGGTTTATACTGTATACTCAGGAGCACAGGGTCTATACTGTATACTCAGGAGCACAGGGTCTATACTGTATACTCAGGAACACAGGGTTTATACTGTATACTCAGGAGCACAGGGTCTATACTGTATACTCAGGAGCACAGGGTCTATACTGTATACTCAGGAACACAGGGTTTATACTGTATACTCAGGAGCACAGGGTCTATACTGTATACTCAGGAACACAGGGTTTATACTGTATACTCAGGAGCACAGGGTCTATACTGTATACTCAGGAGCACAGGGTTTATACTGTATACTCAGGAGCACAGGGTCTATACTGTATACTCAGGAGCACAGGGTTTATACTGTATACTCAGGAGCACAGGGTCTATACTGTATACTCAGGAGCACAGGGTTTATACTGTATACTCAGGAGCACAGGGTCTATACTGTATACTCAGGAGCACAGGGTTTATACTGTATACTCAGGAGCACAGGGTTTATACTGTATACTCAGGAGCACAGGGTTTATACTGTATACTCAAGAGCACAGGGTCTATACTGTATACTCAGGAGCACATAGGAGAGGAGGTGACAAATCAGGGAGGGGCAAACAAACATGGACAGACAGGAAGGAAAACTCAAACAAGAGAACAAATATATGAAAATAAAACCAGGAATTAATAAATCAGTGCACACCATGACACACAGCAGATGTAAGAGATAGTAATAACAGATATAAGGATGTTTTTACTGATGCAGAGTGTGTGCAGGAGGCGCAGAGCTGTCGACCCGTCAGAGCGTTTGCTGGAGGCCATGACAGCTCCATCACAGAGTGCGCCATGATCCCACACACCAACAGGTCTGTCCAATTATCCATGTTATCTGTGAGGAATCTGTCTCTCAGATTATTACTGTGATTTCACACATTCACCATAAGAGACTAGTATTGGTCTGTCATTGTCCTTATCATCTATGGCTCTTGTGGACCAGTACTAGGACCACTACTAGGACCAGTACTAGGACCAGTACTGGGACCAGTACTAGCACCAGTACTAGGACCAGTACTAGGTGTTTCTGAGTGTTTCCATCACAACATTGATCTTAAACATTGTCATAATCACCTTTACATAGAGTTCCATTCTGATTCCAAAACTCCTGCATCCAAACAGTGATTTGGATCAGCTCCAGAAATAGAATCAGTTCTTCACTGGGCCTTTGAACTTGTTTATGAAAGTTTTATCCAAATCCTTCCATTTCTTTTTGAATGAATGCCTTTATTACTCCCACAGTGGGGAAATTTCAGCTAGATGGATTAACAACCAACACATTTGAGACTTCACCTTCTGGGCAGAGGTAAAAACCTTGAGCGGATAAGTGAGAAGGAATAACAAGGAGTTTAACATTTCGTAAAAATTGTGCTTCTTAGCGGGAAGGTCCGGGGTTCGAATCCCAGTCAGAGCAGGGCCTTTCTGAGTGGAGTGTTCACGTTCTCCCGTGTCTGCGTAGGTTTCCTCCGGGTGTTCCATTGTCCTCGGTTTCCCCTACCACTAAAAACATGTACAATAGGTAAATCCTCCAGCCTTACCAAGCCGCTCATGAACATCTGGAGATGGGCCCACTGTTCCAATTTTTAGAATGAGTCAAATCCACAGGAATAAATATGATAATGCACTTTTCTATTAAAATAAACCTTCCATGTCACGATGTTATGTTGTTGATGTTTTCTTTTTGATGTGTTCTGCTCAGGATGGTGACAGTTTCCTGGGATAAGCAGATGGTGTCCTGGGACATGGAGACGGGACAGATGCTGGTAAATTGGCTTCAGCTAGCTTCAAATCAGCCTCTTAGGGTTAGGGTTAGGGGGAGGCTAATACGATGGTGATGTCACACTTGGTCAGTCCACTTAATATACGCTCTATGGTTGTTCCCAGTGGAAGTCCCGTCAGCCCGGCCTGCTCACCTCCTGCTCCTCTTCTCCAGATGGACGGCTCCTGGTTTGTGCCACGGTTCCACAGTACGGCATTTACATCAGCGACGCAGCCAGCGGTCAGAGCGTGCACCAGATCCACGGTGCGTCCTCAAACCAAGGCACAGTCGCCTGGGATTACAATCTGATCATTCTATTCATAAAGTCATACAGTCACCATGTGTACTGTAGATTAGTCAACATGACCCTAGATCTATGAGAGGGACCCAGAGAGAGAGACCAGAGCGGGAGAGAGAGAGAGAGAAAGACAGACAGACAGACAGACAGAGAGAGAGGGAGAGACAGAAAGAGTGAGAGACACAGAGAGACAGACAGACAGAGAGAGAGGGAGAGACAGAAAGAGAGAGAGACAGATAGAAAGAGAGAGACACAGAGTGAAAGAGAGACAGACAGAGAGAAAGAGAGAGAGACAGACACAGAGAGAATGAGAGAAAGACAGAGAGACACAGAGAGAATGAGAGAGAGACACAGAGAGAAAGAAAGAGACACAGAGTGAGAGAGAGACAGACAGAGACACGGATAGAGAGGGAGAGGGAGACAGACGGAGACCAAAACAAGACCAAAGCAAGACCATGGAGTTCACTTTCTCTAGATCCCGCAACCGATTTGAATTTGAACAGATCAATCATTGCTTTTGACAGCAGAAGACCTGAGACTACAGGTCAAAATCAATCCAACTACTGCAGCTTCTTCAAGAATTCTGCAGCTCACATTCAGAATCTAAAAAATAATTACATCTAAAGATCTGAATCATGCCCGGATTTAATTTAGAATAAGTTTCATTATTTATTTATTTTCTCACACCCAGGTCCAGGACAGATGAGATATGGTTAACAGTGGAGAAAAAATATTATTATAAACATTTTAAACATTCAAATAAGGGGGCTATTCCTACAATGCGAGTCAATATATCTACAAGCTTTGCACATCGAGAGACTGAAAGTTTTGCCCAGTGGAGGCAAAGGGAAACAAACTAAACGTTGTATAAATACTCTTTTCTTCAGAGCATCACAAAACCACGATCACTCGCTGTCGGTTCGACCCTGAGAGCAAACGCATCGTCAGCGTCTCGGCCGACCGCTTCATCAAACTGTGGGACCTGCAGAGCCTCAAGACCACGGTGTCCATCAGCAGGTAACAGATGGCTCGGATTTATTTATGCTGCCTTCATGTGACATCACAACTTTCCAAAAAGCCTATAGTGTGATATTGTGATGGAGTGCAGCTGAAAAATCCTGATTCCTGATTATAAATCGCAGTTTTTGTCATAGTTTGGCCGGGGGTGCGGCTTAGACTTTGGAACGATTTATGTGTGAAATTATTACATTTTATATTCTACATTTTATACTTTATTTACCGTAAAATATCAAACAATAGACGGGGCTATTAAGTTGGGCGATTGAGAAATTAGAAATGTGATTTTCACTCTAGTGCAACTTGTTATATGTTTTTTTTCTTCTTAATTATTATGTTTTTATTCATTTTTGGTTGATGCAATTTATAATCCGGACCAATGTATAATTCGAAAAATATGCTATGCTAGTGTCAAATGTTGAAAATGTAGTCTTGGCTAGTCTCTCTCTGGTCTCTTTCTCTGGTCTCTTTCTCTGGTCTCTTTCTCTGGTCTCTGGCCAGTAGAAAGGATGTTTGGACTAAATAATCATATGGTGGCTTTGTGAGACCACAGAGAGACCAGAGAAAGACCAGAGAGACCAGAGAGAGACCAGAGAGAGACCAGGGATAGACCAGAGAGAGATCGTAGAGAAACCAGAGAGAGTGATAAGGCGGCTTTGTGAATCCTATTGAATAATGATTTGGGAAAACAAAAAGAACAATTTACTTTTTTGGTAAAATCTTCCTTCCTCTGATTATTTAAAATTCCTCACATGTACATTGTGTGGTTATCGTCTTTCTTTGGTCAGTAACCACGACAACGCCATCTCCGACTGCTGCTTCTCTTCAAACGGACACTTCCTGTGTAGTGCATCGTGGGACAAGAGCCTGAAGCTGTGGGAGCTCCAGGGGGGGTTCCGGAGCCGTGGGGGGAAGGCCCTGCAGAGAGGCCACGAGGGCAGTGTCAGCTCCTGCTGCTTCTCCCACGACGGTCAGAAGCTCAGACATCCGCTCATGGCTCTAACTAGAATCTGACTTTTTTTACAGTTATCACCAGAGCCGTAACCAGACATTTGGAGGCTCGAGGCTAAAGTGGGGCCCCTCTGGATTTTCCCTTCAATTACATGTGATCGTATTTTATCAAGTAAAAACATAGAAAATGCTATAATAACAAACAGGAGCCATTGGTCGATAGGGAGCGGGATTATTAAAATTATAAAAATTATTATGAAAATGTGTAAAACGTTCTAGATCTAGTGTGTCAGTTTTCAAACATAATTATGTGAGATTTATTTTGTACATTAATATTGCTTTTCTTCTGTTCAGACACGCTCCTGGTGTCGGGCTCCTTTGACAGAACCGTGTCTCTGTGGGACATGAGCTCCCTCTGTCAGACCGTGTCGCTCAAGGTGATGTCTCTCTGTCACAAACACATATGTATTTATCACTGTGCTCAGTCTTTCCACCAGCCCTACTCTACTCCAATTGGGAGAGTTTCCACTGACCTTGTCTAACCAGTACCAGGTCTTCTTTAGTCCCTCTTGGCTCTAGTTCTATCAAGGCCGAACTGGTGCTAAAGTGTTCTAACTGTCGGTGATGTGCTGCTGAAAGCCATGGTTACCAAGGAATTTCTCTGGATACTGTTTGTTGTGGGTAGGTTGCTAGGATACGGTACCAGATACTAAAGCGTAATAGAAAGACAGGTAGAGTAGGGCCAAGTAGGGTACGGCCGGTGGAAATGGAGCATAACTCTGATGTGTTTTAGGGCCACAGTGATTGGGTGACAGACGTGTCCATCAGCGCCGACAAGAAGCTGGTCGTCTCTGCCTCAAAGGTGTTCATTTTCTCCTCCCCCAAATCTTTGAAGACCACAGTCTGTTTAGAGCTTACTTTAATTTATACCCAAAAACAATACATAACTGTGTTCTCAATAAAGCCAAATATTAATAATAATAATGATACAATACTCAATTTCGCTGGTCTCTCCCTCTCTGGTCTCTTTCTCTGGCCTCTCTTTTTGGTCTTTCTCTTCAAAATACATGCCTTGGACCTACTCAACTAGAACCAAACTTGCTTTCACAACAAGGAACAAGGATTCTATTACATACAATTATCTGTGGTTTGAAAGTTAGGTATCCCTACTTTAAATGTGATATCTCTTTCAGGATCACACCGTTCGGGTTTGGGACATTGAAAATATTGATGAAATCCCGGCTGTAATGGAGCAGAAGAAAACCCAGGGCATTGGAGTTCACGTGCTGAAAGTAACTACCTTCATCCACCAGGGAGCGTGTGATTAAGCTCAGAGTTCAGCTATTTCTGTCAGAATTCGGAAAACATGAAATCAAAAATGCAACTCATGAATGGCAGTTTATCACGGTTTGTGCTATAACCACGTACAGCATTTCAGTGTTCAATTTGGAAAGATTATCATTTCATATCATTACTGTGACTTTTGGAGATGTTAAAATTATCCATCCCTTTCCTTCCACTTTATCCATAAAAGTTTAGTTATACTTTATTGTGCCAGTGGGAAAATGTGTCCTCTGCATTTGACCCGTCCTGTACTCGGGCCTCTGTCAGGAGTAGTGTTCCCCACAATACATGGACCCATCTCAATTCAATGTAATTTCAGATTATTTGTGTATCGCCCTAAATCTCCTCTCGGAAATGCAATTATAACAAACAAATAGGTCCATTGGGAGCGGGACTACCACTGTATAAATGTACTTAAAAGCCCTAGATCATCACTGTCCTTAGACCCTGCTGCAAAACAAAACAGTGGGAAAAATGTGAGAAACCTCCGGCAGGACCACATTGAGAGGGATTCACTCCCACGGACAGACAGGCTGTAGAAACCCTAGACTCAGGCTGTAGAACGAGGACTGAGGACTGAGGCTTGGGCCAGGGGAGACCAGTCCACAGGAGCAGGTGAAAAAGGCCGGGTTCAGGGGTCCCATCTCCATCTCTTGGACAGGAGTTGGAAGATTTTGCCTGTTGTACATGTTTTTATGGATAGAGGAAACCTACGCAGACATAGACATAGTGAGAACATGCAAACTCCACACAGAAAGGCCCTGTTCTGACCAGAATTCGAACCCAGGACCTTCAGACAAAACAATATCCTTAAAGCTTGTGTACCTAAAATGTTTGTCCGACAGAAGAAGACCAGAACATGCTGCCTTCATCTAATTAGAAAACATGTCATATTTTTCATACATGATTATTAGTCACTATTTGACTCTTTGGGCTGAGAGCTGGTTGTCCTCTGTCGGAAAACTCTGATCTAAAGCTGTAACAGAGGCTAAACATACATGTGAAAACTAGTGACAGGATAGGAACTAGTGAATTGCATTGTTCATGTGGTTTGAAAATTAGATACCCCAGCTTTAATCAATCCATTCTAATGACCTTGACTGTGGCTGTCAATAAGTTTACAATTGAAGATTATAGCTACACTTTTAAAATACACTTTATATTATTATAGATGAAACTATTATTTATGTTTCATCTGAGTATGTTTCATTCATTGTAGTGTTTCTCTAGTTTTGTAAAGCACTTAACTGTACTTTACAAATCAAATAAAGTTGTGTCTGTGTCTTTCAGTGTGAAGAGTGTGGGAAAGCGTTCCCTGTGTCCAGACTGCGGACCTCAGAGCTGCTCAGCAAATGTGTTTTCTGTCGCCTCAAGTCTCCGCAAAGATACAGACCACAGCCTCCACCTCTCATGCCTCTGTGAAGATACCAGGACCAGGCCCAGACCAGGAACAGGACCAGCACCAGGACCAGATACAGTCCCCAGCCTCCCTCGCTCATGCTGTTGTGAGTTGCCCTGAACCAGACCAGGACCCGGACCCGTACTTGGCCCCACCCCTGCCCCAGCCAAAGACTTGCAGCCAAACACCAGACAATAATTCAAATATATTTATTCTTAGTAAAGTACCAACTCTACTAAAACCATTTCAGACGGTTCTGTATATTACATTCAAGTTTTTCAAGTCCTGAACAGTTTTAAGGCCTCTGGGACAAGACTCATCTTGAGCAACACAAAAATCTCTTCAAAAAAACATTACTTTTAAAAATAAAATCACACAAAACAGAACGGCAGTGAGAACAATCCTTTGAAGTTTCTTTTCCTCTTACAATTGAGAACATATAATAAAACATACATGCTGTACGATAGAGTTTACTCAGATTCAGGCCTTGGATCTGAACAGTGCAATGAGCAAAGTGTGATTTCTTCATTTGGAAACTCTCAAACGTCTTGGCAGTCGACTGTATTGCTTTTTAAATACCTGCTTTTTGTATCATAAATAATACATGTGGTTTGTCCCAAAAGAAAGGGTTTTGCAAATGTAAAATGTTGGGAACCAAATCAACCACATCTTATCAGAAAACGTGTTATCTTTTGTGTAAGAAAGAGCCCTGTGAGTCACAATTTGACTCTTTGAGCTGAGAGCTGATTGGCTGAGTGATGGTGGGCCTCTCTCTGCCACTTTTCTGACAAAAAACCTGATCTAAAGACTGTTTCAGAGCTAGGAACTACATGCATTTGTTTACATAGTTAAATGTGTGTGGTTTTAAAGTCAGGTACCTCAGCTTTAACTGTAGACCCTGTAGACTGTAGACCCTGTGTGAAGGCAGTTGAGGAGGACCTAAAGTCTTTACATGGACCACGATAACTTATTATTGTGGGATTTGTAGATGAAAAGGAGGCCAAAGCAGGTCAGAACGGCTGTTAAAACGCGGAGATAGAGAGACCAGTGAGAGAGAGAGACCAGTGAGAGAGAGAGACCAGTGAGAGAGACCAGAGAGAGACCAGTGAGACCAGAGAGAGAGACCGGAGAGAGAGGCTGGAGGGAGAGACCAGAGGTGGTGACCCAGAGAGAGACTGGGTCTAAAGAGTCCAGTGAGAGTCCAGTGAGACCAAGAAAGAGAGAGACCAAAGAGAGGGACAAGAATGAGAGACCAGACGAGGAGACCCTGGTGATCAGTACGTGCTCTGCAGCAGACACATGCACCCACAGCCGGCCGGACACTGGTCCTGGCTCCTGAACCAGGCGAGCATGTGGCTGGTGTGGCCCCCGTGTCCACAGCTCAGGCAGAAGTTGGAGGATCCGCGCACCGCCACATGGCACACGGCGCACTGGAACGTGAGGCGTTTGCAGATCGCACACTGCGTACCGCGCGCCTGGCTCCGGCAGTGACAGCAGTACACGCCGAACTCTGCACACAGACACACAAAGGTAGGTACCCCAGCTTTAAGAGAGTGGGGGAAAACTCAAGGACACTTTCATCAAAATGCATATTCAGAGTACTGTATTCTGAACATATGGAATACTTGTTTCCCTTTAAATCCTCTGAATGACAGCTTTTTAAAAATCCTCACTGCTGTAAGAACGTGGTGCCAGGGGTTGAACAGACTTAAGAGTTTATCGCAACTTTGTTAAGAAGGTCCGATATTGTTTGCATATGACAATCACATTAATTTCAAAATTGTTCGGTGCGCACCACAGTCATTAGTTCAGAGGAATTTGCTGCTGTATTGACTGGACGTGGTGTAGACCGGGAACAGGCCACAATAACTTTGGAAAATAATACATTAATGGGAAATGTGACTTTCATTCCAACCAAGCAGGAGCACAGAAGACTCCACCATTTCATCTGGTGCAGAAGTGTCGAACTCCTTTTGGTCAGGGGCCAATAGGGGCCGAAAGAATAGAAGGGATTTCCTTTTCTTACACTAGTTTTTACATTATGATGGTATTTTGACATGACATGAGTTTAACTATTGTTTTCTGGTTGATTTTCCGGAATTTATATTTAACTATTTAAAGGTGCAGTTAATGATTCAGGTTAGCTTAGCAGTAGCATGAGTAGCATCAACTCTGACTACTTTTGGGGTTTAGGGATGTTCCCCCACAGTATTTTAAACATTAGATAAATTATTGACTGCATCTTTAACTTCTAATGAAGATAAAATAGATGAGACGTATAAGAGGCCTTAGTTTAGCCCATAATGATGATTGAAAATCATTTTAGGGGCCACAAAAAATGTTCTTGAGGCATCGGCCTGAGTTTGACATGTCTGATCTCGTGAGTTTGGTCCAACCCTAAAGACTTGAGTGCATGCGTGACTCAATCCAGAACACTGTAACAGAGAGTGATGTCACTGACCGATGCCTCTGTGCGGCTCTGGAGGGCAGGAGGCAAACTTCAGCACGTCCGCTCTCTTGTCGCGCAGACCCCAACGATACAGAATCTCCCCGTAACATTTCTTAAACTCGTCAAACTGAAGCGTATTGGAAGGATCCAGCAGCCTGCACCAAAAACACATAAACACGATTATTCACAACCCGCAGAAGAACACACAGACAACACTAAAACACTCAGAGACACAAGGAACAAGCTCTACTTCTATACGGTCTCGCTGTGGTCTGTAAATGAGAACCTGTTCGGATACGCGCCAGGTCTGTGTTTTGGCTCATATTCAGCAAACCACTTAAAACACGTGAATCATAAATACATTTCCAAATGCTTTACATGTGTGCATAGATATCCCTGACATCAGACCAAAGTGCAGACCCTTGGGGACCGAGCCTTTGCTGCAGCTGCCCCCACTCTCTGGAACTCACTCCCACAACACATCACTGTCTGATTTGTTCTTCTGTGAAGCGTCTGTGTCCAAAAAAGCGCTTAATAAATACGATGTATTATTATTATTATCATGACCAGCGAGAGACCAGATCCAGAGACCAGAGCCAGAGACCTAAACGAAAGACCAAAGCCAGAGACCAGAGCCCAGAGTGAGAGACCAGAGTGAGAGACCAGAGCGAGAGACCAGTGCGAGAGACCAGCACGAGAGACCAGCACGAGAGACAAGAGTGAGAGACCAAAGCGAGAGACCAGAGCAAGAGACCAGAGCGAGAGACCAGAGCGAGAGACCAGAGTGAGAGACCAGAGCAAGAGACCAGAGCGAGAGACCAGAGCGAGAGACCAGAGCGAGAGACCAAAGCGAGAGACCAGAGCCAGAGACCAGAGCCAGAGACCAGAGCAAGAGACCAGAGCGAGAGACCAGAGCAAGAGACCAGAGCAAGAGACCAGAGCCAGAGACCAGAGCAAGAGACCAGAGCGAGAGACCAGAGCAAGAGACCAGAGCAAGAGACCAGAGCCAGAGACCAGAGCCAGAGACCAGAGCAAGAGACCAGAGCGAGAGACCAGAGCAAGAGACCAGAGCAAGAGACCAGAGCAAGAGACCAGAGCGAGAGACCAGAGCGAGAGACCAGAGCCAGAGACCAGAGCAAGAGACCAGAGCAAGAGACCAGAGCGAGAGACCAGAGCAAGAGACCAGAGCGAGAGACCAGAGCGAGAGACCAGAGCAAGAGACCAGAGCAAGAGACCAGAGCGAGAGACCAGAGCGAGAGAGAAGAGCAAAAGATCATTATTGTATTCAATAATTAGTTTGACTGGTGGACAGCACAAAAGCACAAACCTCTTGTTCATGTCGTGCAGCTCTCGCTCTCGCTCTCGTGGATCTGTGAAACTGGGAGAACTGAAGCGAAACTCGTCTGGAGAAGATTCCCCCCAAGGATTCAAGTGATCCGGGTCTCTGCCTGAGGGACGTTCAACAAGATCAACTTTTAACAAGGAAACAGATAACACATCACTCTGCAACGTGGAGCTGGCATTTTAGTGAAATTTAATATGAATCCAAGATAAATACAGCATTACTGTCTAAGAGACCAGAGAGAGGCAAGAGGGAGAGCCCAGAGAGACCAGAGAGGGTCCAGAGGACAAGAGAGACACCAGAGAGCATAAAGAGAGAGAGACCTGAGAGAGCAGAGAAAGACCAGAGACAAGAGAGACACCAGAAAGAGAGACCAGAGAGGGACCAGAGAGACCAGAGAGCGAGAAGAAAGAGACCAGAGAGCAACAAGAGAGAGAGCAGAGAGAGAGAAACCAGAGAGCACAAAGAGAGATAAGAGAGAGACCAGAAAGCGAAAATAGACAGACCAGAGAGCAACAAGAGAGAGAGAACACAGAGAGAGGGACCAGAGACCAGAGAGCAAAAAGAGAGAGAGAGCAGAGAAAGACAAGAGAGAGAGACCAGTGAGGGACCAGAGAGCACAAAGAGAGAGAGAGCAGAGAAAGACCAGAGACAAGAGAGAGACCAGAGAGCGACAAGTGAGAGACCAGAGTGCAATAAGAGAGAGAGAAAAGAGAAAGACCAGCGAGAGGCCGGAGATAGACCAGAAAGAGACCAGAGCGAGAGAGCAAAGAAAGAGAGCAGAGAAAGAGAACAGAAAGAGAGCAGAGAAATACCAGTGAGAGAGAGCAGAGAGACCGGAGAGAGAAGACGGCACAGGGTTAGCACTTGTGAATGAATTTACCGGTGCTGTAGATGTTGGTGGGGACAGAGTCAGAGTTGCTGGAGTAGGATCCTGAGGTGAGAGAGCTGGACGTACAACTGGGCTGAAAGAGAAATGCATGTGTTTCCTCCTTCCACCTTATCACAAGCATTGAAACTATTATGACAGTTAAAGCTGGGGTACGTAACTTTCAATCCAAAGTAAAACGATTCTGTCTTACAGGCTTTCATCTTTAGTTCAGCTTTTCCTGGTCTCTCTAGTCTCTCGCTGATTTATCCTCTGGTTTCTCTCTGGTCTTTTTGTCTCCCTTTCTGGTCTCTCTCTCTCTGGTATATATATAATATCTGTGTGTGTGTGTCTCTCTCCGTCTGTGTGTGTCTCTCTCTCTGTCTGTGTGTGTCTCTCTCTGTCTGTGTGTGTCTCTCTCTCTCTGTGTGTGTCTCTCTCTATGTCTATGTGTGTCTCTCTCTCTGTCTGTGTATGTCTCTCTCTATGTCTATGTGTGTCTCTCTCTCTGTTTGTGTGTGTCTCTCTCTCTCTGTGTGTGTCTCTCTCTATGTCTATGTGTGTCTCTCTCTCTGTCTGTGTGTGTCTCTCTCTGTGTATGCTTTCTGGTTTGATCGTTTTACTTTCACAAGACTGTCAGGATAAACGACAGGTCTTTCAAAAAAGAATTCAGGTACCCGAGCTTTAACGGGTCTTTGGCTCAGACTCCGTACGTACGTATCGTGAGTGTGGGGGGAGGCAGGAGCGCGGGGGGTGGTGACCTCCGAACAGAGAGCCAGAGTCTGAGGGAGCCGACTGAGCCCTGAAAACACTGCACAGCATCGCTAAGGTCTGCACGTCGCTCATGTGGCTGTAGTGATCCAGGCTGAAGAGACACACAACAATAAACACACACGCACACAATAAACACACTACAACATGTGGCTGTAGTGGTCCAGGCTGAACAGACACACAACAACACGTGACAGTAGTGATCCAGGCCCTGTGTGTGTGTGTTTCTCTCTCTGTGTGTGTGTCTCTCTCTGTCTCTGTGTGTGTGTGTGTGTATGTATGTGTGTGCATGCGTGTGTGTATCTCTCTCTATCTTGGTGTGTTTGTGTGTGTCTCTCTATATCTCTGTGTGCGTGTGTGTGTTTCTGTCTCTGTGTGTGTGTGCGTGCGTGTGTGTTACTGTCTCTGTGTGTGTGTTTCTCTCTGTCTCTTTGTGTGTGTTTCTGTCTGTGTGTGTGTGTGTATGTGCGTGTGTGTGTGTGTTGCTCACAGAGTCTCCAGCAGTTTTCGTCCAAACGGGTGCCTGGCCCAGGGCGTGTCAGAGTCTGGGTCTGAGTCCGGGCCCAGGTCCTGACTCGTGGCTGCGGACGCTAAAGCCCAAACCTGCAACATTTCAAACAGTGACCGTCACCGTCAGAGGGAACAGGCGAGTCCATTCCCCATTGGTCCAGCTCGGCCCCTACACTAGTTCTACTGATGATGGCTTTGCAAAGAGGAGAGAGTCTAGTTCAGTTCAGTTCAGTTCAGATCAGTTCAGATCAATCGAGCTCAGAGCAATGCATTAAGTTGATACAAAAAGAGAAAATGTTCAAGTGCTGTATAAAGCTCAAAAGGAGCAGGCAGAAGACAAAAATAAGGCCAAAGAGAGAGACCAGAGAGAGAGACCAGAGAGCGACAAAAGAGAGACCAGAGCGCAATAAAAGAGAGAGACCAGAGAGAGAGACCAGAGAGCAGGCGTTTATCTGTAAAAAAAACGTATAAAGACCAGAGAGAGAGACCAGAGGGCAGGCATTTATAAGTCAAAAATACTTATAAATACCTACCCCTTCATTGCAAAATGAAATGTTAAATGTTCTAAATCTTGTGATACATGATTATTCACTTACTGTCTAAACACAGACATATTTCTATTGTTTTGCTCCTTCGTGTTATCACCAGGGTTTGTGTGTCTGTCTGTTATTTAGCAACATCTCTCAAGTTGTGACTGGACTTTTATGACTTTGTCTGTATCATGAGGATTACATTTCTTGAGACCATAGGAAACATCCAAAAATCAGGTTAGAGTCCATTACATTTAGGAAGTGGTCCGGATCCAGGATCGTTTTTAAAGAATAGAGGTCTCAACTATTTTCTTGCTCCCACTGTTCTGTAATGTGTGCCACAACATTGACTTAAGACACATTATAAAAAAATATTTCTTCATGAAAAATATGAAGTTCAGCTGCATCACCTCAAAACTCAAGAGAAACTATTTATCTTTTTGAAATCACAATGGACGCCTCACCTTGGCTACGTCTCGTCGGCCCACTGTGAGCGCTGCTGCTGCGTTCTTCTGACACGTTTCCTGGATGTCCGTGTTCAAACTGGCAACAGGCAGAGACGGAAAAGCATCTAAATAATCGACCGAAGGCCTCACTCTGGAGTCGTAATATTTTTCTCTGTGATCCTGGTGTTTATACTGTGATATTGTCTTGACCAGATGCCTTCATTTGTGGGGTAAACACCAGCTTGCCTTAGCAACCGTCTTAGCAACGCATGTGCTCCGAGTTTTGTCTTGTCTTACATCTTCTTTTGTGTCTGGTATAGAAGAACCATAACATGCTTTACATCTGCCCCCTGTTCCGGCTCTAAGCTAGCGTTTTGGAATAAATGCCCAGATACGGAAATTGGCTCCAGCTAGCTTATGTTCAAATCTTCTGCATTAAGACTGTGGTGATGTCACACTTCTAATATATATTATCGAGACAGACAGATCCAAACCCAAATTGCTACATCACCCAGTGTACAATAATGACCAGCATTGAAAACAAGGCTCGCGGCCCTAGTATGTGTTTGTTCTTTCGGCTCTAAGTCTGTACAACAGATCTGTCCATGTGCACTTTATTACTATTGTTAGTAACTATTAAAACAATACCTTTATTTACCTTTATTTTGTATGGACGGATGTGTTTCTCCTATTTATTTATTTATAAGAGGGGACAGTGCACATTAACTAACATGAATTCTTAGAGTCCACGTGTAAATATGCCAGAGTTTTTCATCTGTTGTCCCAGGGCAGGTTGATGTTTACAGACATGGGATCATTAAAGTATCTCACTCCCCATCTATCCATTCCTCTCTGTATCTCTATTTCTGTCTATATCTATCCATCTCTCTTTCTCTGTATGTGTCCAAATTGGCGGGCATCGTCCCATGTCAGCATCATTTGTAGGCATCGCGACGTCACTTCTGTATGTCAGCCACGGGTTACAGGGACACTGTATCAATCAAGCCCCAGCGATTCAAGATGCCGCCGTATTCAAATGAATGGTTTTTGTCAGTCGGACTTTGTGCCGACACGGTCGCTGACATATTAGCGGAACTCGCCTGTATTTGGGCATCGTCTGGTCCTCCCGGTTCTGCGCAGTGGATGAACTCCCATGATGCGTTGAGCCAAATACGCGTGTGTGGCTCTCATGCATGCGGGCTCGGCCGCGCTCTGACCAATCAGAGCTGCTGATCAGAGCGGGAGCCAGACGGGTAGAGTTTTTAAGTGTGGATTTAAAGAAAACCAAAGGATTTAAGAAGAAAAAAGTTCAGGATGACAAGGAACACTAAAATCCCCACAAAATCCGGCCTTTATGAAAGCTGTAGGTTCTCTGTCAGCTGAGGTCGAGCTGTTTTAGTTTACATTGAGTTCTATGGGGAAAATGTCTGGACGTAAATTTAGTCTGCAGTACCGCGAGAATCCCCCGAGCACATGGTTTCTTCAGTTCCAAACTAGTAACACCCTATCCAGTTAATATAATAGATCCATGGTATCAATCTGTTTCTCTCTGACTCTCTTGCCATTTATATCTATCCTTCTATCTAAATATATCTTTCTCCATCTTTTTTGTATCTATCTATATCTATCTACAGTGCCTTTCAGTAAACAAATCTAAGCTCTTTATGTTTATGGTTGTAAACGTTGAAAAAGTATAAGCTGTTTTCATACATTTAAGAAACACTGTATGATCTACATCAAAACAATAAAAGGGTTAGCCTTGATAAGCGAGTGTTAGCCTCCTCACATGTAGCTCTCTCCCAGGGCCTTGTGCACCGGCAGCAGACACGAGATGTCCTGGATGATCACTTTTCCCGCCAGTTTGATCGGCCGGTTGGCGAAGTCGGACGCCTCTCGTTTGGTTTTGAAACGTCGTGATTTCTGCGTTCAAAAAAGGACAAAAGGCAGAGACAGAGGGAGGGAGGGACGAGCGAGCACACACAAGCACCACCGGATTAAAAGTGGTCTGAATGTAACAATTACTGACAGATTCTGGTTCACAGGGCGCGCCACGATTAGAATTGAAATGTTTTGGGCGTATTTTTTGGGGCGTAGTCCTGGATCTACAGCCTCAGTCCTGGATCCATAACCTTAGTCCTTGTTCTACAGCCTCACTTTAAACAATTACAATTCATAAAAGACGAACAGGACTTTTATGAATTGTAATTGTTTAAGTGGCTTAAGAGTAGTTTGAATAATACATGTGTCCATCGGGATGTGAGGCTGTGGCTCGCACTGTGATCCAACTGTTAGTGAGCTGCAAAATAAGCTTCACGGTCATGAAGAACATGTTAGTGAAATTTAATCCACAGATAATGATCCGGACACAAACACTCACCTGCGGCTGAGAGAGCGGTTAGTGGTTATAGATTCAGGGTTTTAGTATCTGCAACATTTATATGGTCTGAATAGAGACATGATGGAAATAGAACCAATGTGATCTAATTATTTATGCTCTTTGACACCAGGACTCCCAGACTTCTGGAACTACTAGAACTCCCATAGCTGTCCTGGTAAACAGATTCACACCAGTCATTCATAAGGTTTCTACTTTTACTCACTTTGAATAAGTGATAAAACTAGTGAATATAATGAAACTCCAGTAAAATCTGCAAAGGCTAAATGCTAACTGCTAGCAGCAGTATCCAAGCCGGACCAGCACCAGCACTAGTGCCTGGAACTTGACAAAAGGATTTTTTACTTCCATAGAATGATTTTTCCAAAGCGATAAAACAAGAATACATTTGAATTCAACATTCAGATGAATGGAGCAGTCAAAATGACTGTTCTGGGAGTTCTAGCGTTACACTTGAAGAATAGGGTTGAATCCGAGTGATCGATGAGGCCTCAGAGAAGAGGCAGGCTGTGGTCATGTGTTAAATCTAAATAAGATAAGATAAACTTTATTGATCTCACAATGGAGACATTTACACGTCACATTTGGCATCGATAGAATCACTCAGTGTGTGAAAAAAGACAGTGTGCAAACATGTGAAAAAGATTTAAAATCTAACATGAAGTGGTTTATCTGAAAGTGTGAGGTTTTGAAAAAAAATATGATGAGCATTATTATTGAGAATTTAAAATAATAATGAGACTGTTTACTTTGTCATTTTTAGAATGTGAAATATTGTCTTTAACAATACATGGAAAAACAAGTATGAAAGGCAACACATGCTTTCTGCCTGCAACTCCCTCTGCTGCCACCAGAGGGAGGAGAAGAATTTGTTTTATTCCAAATTTGGAAATCACCTGAGAAAATGCCAAAACTAATGAAAGTGCAATACGTTTGTTGTGAAGGCAGAAAATGGCTTTGTGTGATGTCATTGTGCTACATCCAAACACAGCACTGTCTTTACTGTTCTGAGCTTTAAAATGAAATGAGTCCATAGAGATTCACATTTGACAGAGCTGAAAAAATCAGCACATACCAATAAATTGGATTCCAGAGTTTATGAGCTTTAAAACAGAGTACAGGTTCCTATGTTGGTGAGGCTGAAGTTGGCTGAATGACTGTGTTTTAGATCTCACTGGATTCTCTGTGTTAGCGGCAGAGGTTCACATAACATGACGCAGAGGGCTGCATTTGGCCTGCGGACCTCAGTTTGGACAATCCCGAAGGGACGTGAATGGATCTAAAAACAACTCCAGGTCTGTGACTGAAGTTGTGACATGGTTAAAAGCAGAAAAAAAGTCTATTTTGCATGATCTGTCTTTATAAGGATAATTATAAAGACAATTATAAGCATGCATCTCATAAAACGTGACAAGTTCCAGGCTCAAAAACAGTTTTCTTCAATTACTAGTTTTACCATTTATTTTAGGCCACCCTCACTCAGCCAATCAGAGAGAGACCAGAGAGATGTTATTTAAAGGCCTTTGAAAATGAAAGTATTGCTCCTAAATAGGGCTGGGCGATATGGCAAAAATGTAAAATCTCAATTTTATTTCCTGCTTTGGACAATTTTGATTTTAAATTTATTTCATTAAAGTTTGCCCTTAAAAATATTTTTTTGATCATTCCGCTCAATAATCACGTTTCAAAACCATTTTTATTTTGTTTCCCCCAATACATATTATAAACGTCTTGTACAGACTGTGCTGATATTGCAAGTATAATTCATGTGCTGCTGGAACCCTCAGAATATCCTTCGTTCGATTTCACGATTTTCAAATTTTTCACAAATTTGATTTTTTTCAAAAGCCGATTAATTGCCTAAATTTGATTAATTGCCCAGCCCTACTCCTAAATCAGTTTAGGCTATTTCTCAAGTGAAATGGCGTTTGTCTTTTTTTTTTTTACAAACACATGCTATGTCACCATGTGTGTTTACGGACTGTGCTTATCCAAATGTGGGAGGAATACAAAACGAAATCCTCCCTCTGGTGGCCGCAGAGGGAGTTACAGACAGAAAGCATTTTTCACCCTTCATACTTGTGTCACCGCATATTTTCAACTCAAGGTTATAATTAGACAAAGTGAATAGTAAGAGTAATCATTCATCTTTAAAGTGAAGTAGAACGGGTACATATACATAGTTCCTACATGACGTCACTACATACGGGGATTTGCCGACCCGGCGCCATTTGTGTTGGCATGCTGTGGGCAAAACAATAGAAAAAGAAGCTGAAACGTGTTAATGTCGTGATAAAGTTGAAAATGGTCATCTCCTGCTGGGTCAATGGATGTTCAAATCGTGCCGGAGGTTCCGTTAAACTTGGATTTTACAGTATACCCATCATTAGACTTCATGAATGTGAGAAGACTAAGCTTTTGTCAGAACAACCACGGAGGTTATGGCTTGCGAAGATAAACAGGCAAGAAACTCCCTCAAAACACGCAAGAATATGCTCGGAGCACTTTGTGTCAGGTGCGTATCGTATCTTATAATGTGTTGACAGACGTAATTTACTCAGTACTAACTTGTGTATGCTGATATCTGGTAACTTGAGAGTTTCATTATTTAGATTACTTTATTATGAGGAGGATCGGTGTCGCGTCCGAGGCTCTCGAGGGCAACGTAAATGTATTAAATAGATAATAATAGTTCTATGGTGGGCTAAAACAATGTTCACAAACAGCATTGCTTCTGTAAAAAGATCTGTGTCATAAAATAAACTGCTCTTTACGCCTGGAAAAATCAGTTGCCCACCATTCACCAAAACATACGGTCAAAAACGCGGAAATAAACAATAACAGCAATCCAGAGTGTCCGTGTGGCATTAGCATTAATTAAATTAATTGTTAATATAATTAAAATAATTAAATGGAGCTCCAACTGGTATTAAATCTAAAGTTTTTGAGAAATGTTTGCATTGCTTGTTAATTTTTGCTGCATAATTTGATCAAATATGTAAAACATGTCCGTAGCACGTTAAACTGTGGTGCCATTGTATTAATATACAATTATTTGCTCAAAAGTTGCCCTTTTTTTCCAATTTGCGTTTGAATATCTACATTTATTCTCATTCTTCTGTTTAATGGAATGCACAAACACAGCAGCGTGCCATCAAAGATGGCGTCTCCGAGGAGGTCATGTGACATTCATTGGTCTGTGGGAACTATGTATCGACAGAGCTAAAAAAAAAAAAGATAGCAGATATGAACTAATTTAACTTTTCAAATTGTTTTTTTACCCTGTTTTTATTCCCCAAGAGCGCTTCACTTAAACCCGTCCACACCATTCAGAGCACATAAGTGTAATGGGAGAAGACTTTAGTTTGGTTAAGTTCACAGGAGACACAGGAGCAGAACAGGTACCGGCCAATCGTGAAGGGTTTGGACAGACCAACGGCGCGACGCAGAGAGAGGAAGCTTCTGATTGGAGGAGAGGGAAGGGGGCGGGACATAGCGTAGAGAGAGACACACACAGGCCAAACAGACATGAGACAGAAAAGGAGTTCCAGAGTCATCAGAATCCGACAGACAGACCTCCGGAGCAGCTACGACAGCGGTGGAATTGTGAAACTTTGTGAAGCTAGCCCGAGCTAAAGCTAAAAAGTCTTTGTGTCAAGAAAAAAAGAGCCGAACTGCAGAGAGAGCGGCCAGAGCAAAATCAGCTCTAAAACAGTTTAACAACGAGAAGACCTGAGCAGAAACAGAAAAAAAACCTAATTGCCGTCATTTTGTTTGGCTTCTTCTGAAGTATGAATTGGTTTTCAGACTTCCAATATGCTAAGTACTGTACCTCGTTGTAAGGTGGGTTGAATGACGCTCAGTGGGTCTGCAAAGCCCCAGGGTTTTTGCGCAGTGGAAATGAGCCTCCTGATGGTGAGGACTGTCAGACCTCGCTCTAAGATTCTTGTTTTGAACCGAATATGTAAATAGTAGCATACGTTCACTATTTCTATTTGATCTTCAGGGACAAAATGTGACGCCACAATCTCCCAAAAGTGAAGACCTGCTATGTGGCTTAAACTATAGTCATTTATAATTTAGTGAGTAAATGTGTATATACGGAGCAGGTTTTCCTCCAAAATGTCGCTGTATTTGGCTCCATCTATCTTCAATGCTATTCTATAAAGCAGCCCCATAGCATGATGCTCCCCCCACCATATTTGACACTGGGGATAGTACACTCAGGACCATGAGCAGTGATAGGTTTGCACCATGCATAACGTTTTGCATCGGATTTTTGTTTAAATAGAATCTGTAAATAGCAGCGTATATATTGACAGCCACTCAACCCCGTTTTTCTTTTTCATTCCACCGCTGATCACAACTGCTTTCTCCAGCTCACATAAAAACCACATCAGGAAATCCTCTCCAAACTTTCGACCAAAAAAACCTTCCAACTGTTTAGTGAAGAAACGACACCAAAGTCACTCACCGCAGTAATGTTGTGTTAATGCTGCACTGTGTCACTGCTCACCCGTTCTTTGTAGTAGAAGGAGGAGATGGAGACGGTTTCTTTGTCGGAGCGCGTGGGGCTGCTGCTGTACAGTCTCTGCGACTCCGAGCGCATCTTCATAGGGGTCAGGACGCTGGAGTGGTACGCCGACAGGGCGGACAGAGACCTGAGCAGATCAAGGACAAAAACAGTGAAAAAGTGAGAGTGATTGGAGCTAGTTAAGAGTCTGCTTCTTTTTCAAATGGTTTATTTCTGTTTATTTTGTGTCTTGTTTTATTGCGTTTATTTTGTGTCTTATCAATTATTTATAGTTTAATTTTTTTACATTTGAAATAAAATTCTACTACTACAAAAATAGCCCCGAAACGTCACATTTTTTTTGACAAGGCTGATAGAGACCTCAGCCGACACAATAACAAAAACAGTTCAAAACAGTAGAAAAACAGTTTAAAAACCACTGACAGTAACCTGAGCAGACATTAAAAAATGTTTTTCTCACTGGTTTACCCCAAAAACAGATCCAATGTCTCCAACATATCCATAACTGCTGCTTTATTATTTACAGTCCATGATCATTACCCACTGATGGAGCCATCTTCTGTATGTACTGTGGTGACAGTTTTTGGAGTAATTACATTAAAACCAGCCGCAGCAAATACACGGACGTCAAAGGCCTTTTATCAATGCAGACAACCTTCTGACGCCATGCTGAGCTTTGTGAAGGTCCCTGCTGTCTGTCACACCCTTGTGTCTTTCCGTCTTGCATCTGTATGACCTGCACTTCCACCATTGTCTGTCTGTTCACACCCCATGCCACTGCCACCACAGGGGATGGCGCCGGCGCTTCCTGTGCGCCTCCTCACCGGTGGCCCCCTCCGCTCCGTTGTGGGCGTGACTATCTTTGGTGTGTGTTTTGTATACAGGAAGCTGGGGGCTCTGGCCCCCAGAGCTGGGACATGCTGCTTTTGAGTGGATGTGCTGGCCCTCCGCACTGTGCGTTAACAATAAACTTACGCTTTTGATCAGACAAAGGACCTTTGAGTTTCCTCCTTCATGGGGTATATATTTCTATAACAATTTGGCGTTGCTGACATGTCTTGGCATGGGATACTTTCGGCGGGACGAGCGGCTTTGTTTGGCCGACCTGGATCACCAGCCTCTGTTCCTTTTTGGAGACAAGGGAGAGCGCGCTCGTCCACGCACGGAAGGAATCCTTTTGCCACACAAGACCAAAAAGAACCTAATCTGGTGAGTCTTGTCTTTTCATCTGCGTAACGAGCCCAGGGCAGCACTTAAGTGTACACGGGGATTTGTTTATTTATGTATTTTTGGGGTATTTCCCCAATTAATTATTAATATCATATTTATAAATCAAATATAAAAAGACTAAAATTATATTATTATCATTTTTAAAAACAAATAATAATAATTAATATATTGGTATATGTTAATTAAATAATTCAGGGTTTTATAATATATTACATATAATAAAAAAATTATACATTAAAAATCATCATATTATATAGATTAGATAAATATATTATATAAAAATATATTTAGGAATTCTAGGATTTTAGTATCATTCAATCTTCACATAATATTAATTTTCCACATTAAATTATACATGTAAAATATATCAATAATAATTTAATTAAATTAAATAAATTATATTATTATAACAATTATAGTTAATAAGATATAAAGATGCATTTTTAAAGCCCCGGGTCATCAATCCACTATAGCTAAAGAATGATACTGGAAAATTTATGATACATGGTGTTTGATATTTATATGATATTTGCTTATTTATGATTATTTTTTCATATTAGTTAGATAGAAAATAATAAGTTTCAAAAGTATTTATTTAATTAATATTAACAAATATATTAATTATATATATAAAATTCATATTTATTAAAGTATTATATTAATTTATTCTATACAAATTATATATTATCTTTTGTCCATTAATTCATAATATATTCAATTATAAAATAAAAAATTATTTTTTATTGGTCATAATATATAGTATGTTATATTTTATATATATAATTATAATAAAATTCCCCCCATCAAATATATATCATCATAATTCATATAAATCATGTATTCAAATCAGATTAAATAATTAAGATCAAAAATATACAATAAAATTAAAAATCAAAAAAATATAATTTATTCCCCCCCCCCCCCAGTATAATATTGCATCATAACTATACAAAATTATAATATATTAAAAATAAATAATTTATAATTTATTCATAGATTATATAAAATATTTATAATAATATAATAACAATAAATTAACAATTAATATAATAATTAATAATGAATATATAAAAAAATATTTAATTAATTATCCCGAATAAACAATATAATATATAATAATATATAATTGTATTATAAAATCATAAAATTAGACATCAACATTAATTAAATATAAGTTATTTTCCAAAAATTATGTTTTCATTAAATAATATATGAATTAAGATATTATGTTAATATGATATACATTATAAAAATTCCCTTTTTTTCCTATGCATAATTACAATTAGCAATTCATAAATATTATATAATAATTTTATAATTGCATTTTTTATCAAAATATAAAATAATAATAAAAATTATATTATTATTAGTAATCATTTATTTTTATATTAAAAATTTAATAATAATAATAATATAATATAATTTTTTATATATCCCCTTGCCACAGCATAGTCTTGTGCGGATTTTTTGGGGGCGGTTTGGTGCTAGATTGAAGCACGCCGGCTCTGCCGTTTTAGTAGCGTCCTGAGGCGACCCTGAAAATTTTCTCATAAGTGTCTTCTGCCAGAACCGCTCCATTTCA